AAGACACATTTTGCAATACGATTGTGCCTCAGAGCACAGACTTGTTCATAATGTTTAATTAAAGGTGCCAAGAAAAGCAGGCTGATTATACAACCACAAGTCTCGGCTTTGGAGATTTTTATTTATTTTGCCAATACCGTAGAAAAAACAGGCTGGCTACTAACTCAATCCAGGGAAAACTGCCTATATTTTTTGTTTGTTTGTTTCAAAGATCTGAGATAAAACTCCACTTTGATCTGTGTTTTGAAGCTATATGTTTCCGTGTTGACTATTCTGGACAAGCAACAGACAATTATAAGGGGAGTAGACAAAATTTGCAGACATACTTTTCCTTTGGGAGGAATAAAGAGTCACTGAATATGAAGCAGAAAGGCAAAAAAGACTTGGGACTAAGCTTGTTTCAAGCTGGTTAGTGAGATAGAGTGTGTGTCTGTGTTTGTGTGGGGGTGTGTGAGGGGGGAAGGGAGAGGAAGAGAGAGATGTGTGTGTGGGGGGGAGAGAGAGAGAGAGAGACTGACTTATTCCTTCACAACCTGATAATTCCTAATGGCTTCAGTAAGTCTATAATGTAACTTTTAAACATCCATGGCATGAGTAAAAGATAATATCTTAAATCTCAGGAAGTAAAAGCAATAGCAACAAATGAGAGTACAAAAGTAGAAGACAGAATAATTGGCGTTTTTCTTTAACTAGGAGAATGTTCCCAAGTAAAAAGTCCATATATCATTAAGATTAAAAAACATTGGTTTAGGGAGAATATCTTTTTAGGCCCACATTCCCAAGTGACGAAGGCCCATTTTCAAGACCCACAAAGAAGCACTACAGAAATGCAGGCTGTTGTGGGGTTTTCCTTTTCTTTCTCCCCCCCCTCCCCATTTCCTAGTTTTTAAGGTCAGCTCTACGCAAAACGCATTGCAGTAATCCAACCAGTTGCGGATGAGGACTGAGGTACTGTAGCAAGGGCTTCCAGAACCAGTTAAGGTCATAATTGTCTCTCCAATTGAAACCGGGCTTATGTAGAAATTGCTTAGAGTTCATTTTGTTGTATTCCATTCAGGTGTACTAACTCAACCTATCATATCATCCAGACACATTCTTGCGTTTTGTTGGTTTTACTTCTTGGGGGCACTTCATATTCTTAACAGCTTCAGTACACTGAGGCACAAACCAAGATCAGATCCCAGAAAGAAGCCATTTAAGAAACATCTAATTCAGGCCATGGTTTACATCCCATTGCTAACCACAAAAGTTCTTGGCTGATTGCTGGAAATTGTCCAAGCACACTTTGGAAACCGGTGGCTCCATCAGCTGTGTGAGGCAGACAATCTGAATAGATCCCTGGTTCCAAGGAGGTGATAGGTGGCTAACAAACACAATTGGATCAGGGCATAACCTGATCATGCCAACAGGTTATGAAAATTATATTATCTTTCCCCAGATAATACAACATCCATTCTGAGATATAAGCAAGATCCAATCTGTCAGGCCCAAGATTTCTTGAGATGTCAATGGTTGTCATGAGGATATCTATGTTTTCAAATGTACTACTTTGCTTGAATCAACCAAAAATGAATCCATACGGCGTATTAAGCCATAACCATCTACATAATGGCTTTAGTGTATGAACTCTGTATATCATATGACGTTTACATATTTACACAGTAGTCTAATAATGGTTTATTGACTAATTTGCTGTATTCCTGATGCTAAACCATAAACCAAGGTTCATACACAACAATGGTGCAATGGTGCACAAGAATGGTGCAATACATTAAGCTATATCTAAAGAGCCATGGTGGCATGGTGGTTAGAATGCAGTATTGCAGACTGATTCTGTTCAGTGCCAGGAATTCAGTCCTGACCAGCTCAAGGTTGATTCAGACTTTCACCCTTCCGAGATGGGTAAAATAAAGACCCAGATTGTTGAGGGCAATATACTAACTCTGTAAACTGCTTAGAGAGGGTTGTAAAGCACTGTGAAGCAATATATAAGTCTAAGTGCTATTTATTAAGCCATAATATGTCTTAGAATGAAGTATGAATTCAGCTGGGACATGGGATCCTAAACATCCAGAAAACTTTGAGATGATTGACTTCATTCAAAAATATCAGAAGGTCTGCTTAAAATAGTGAACAACCTTAATCCTGTTTCTTGGCTCCGCTGAGATGTGAGGATTTGTATTGAGGTTCTACACTGGTCCTCTTTGACCCCAGCCTTGAAAAGTGGAAAAACATTCATTGTTATTTCCAAGGTTGTTCTAAGGAAAAAAAGAGCACTCAAAGAAGTCACCTCTCTGTGAAAAATCTTGGGTTCCATCAGTGGTATCTGATGGAACCTCTCCTACTCTTATTGGTCAAGCAGAAAGCAAATATTCCCACAGCCACAGATAATTAGGGTTTCACTTAGTGAATATAATACTAGTTGGCAAAACATTTCACACTTCAATTAGGCAAATTCAGGATGAGCATTTTCAGAAGCTTTCAACATTTGAAACCTGAGCCAATGCTACAAAACTCCGTCTATGCCATGTACGTACAAAGAAAAAAGCATATTTTTATCTTCTTGGGAATTAGCAATCTAGCATAAACCCATCCCCTTTTCTCATCAATTTAAAGAAACCTTTCCAAATGCTTATTATAAGGTTATACCGGTAACAACCAAGAAACACTAGTACACTAAACAGTTGGCACTAGTTAACGTATGGTTTTTGGGTGGAACAAATGGAATGGTTTGAAGCCATCCAGGAGATTCAGAACTATTTACGTGCCTTTTAATCAAGTCAACTTTGGCCAATGAGACGGGATACAGCTCTGACTGTTATTTGGAGCATAAAATTCTATCACTTCTGCTTAAATGTAGCATTAAAAATCACAGATATAGACAATAGATATTAAAGGAGTCAATTTCCTCTCTTGCAAGGCAGGATAAGGAGAAGTGATTTGAACACAAATTATTTCCTGCCTGTTTGTAGTTTTGCAAATAGAATGAAAAGTTCTTAACCAGAGCCTGACTGGAATTGAAATATAATGCAGTGTTCATGACTCCAAAACTCCAAAAGAAGCACAAATTAACTCTTTGCGGTCGAGGAAACAGATGAAACAGTCTGCTCTGCTCATTGGAGGTTCCTGTTCTTTCCAGTTGACATACCGGGTTTATGCAAAGCTGCTTTTAAAATGCATAATATAAAAAACAGCTTCCTCCTGCCAGCTAGCTGTCCATTCAATGCTGAAAATTTTACTACAGCAGCAGAGTTAAAATAGTTCTCAGGAAAATAGATCACTTGAGTAAAGCAGGATTCAATTCTATATCTGCAGGAGATCATCTGCTGGGGCGATGGGAGCAAAGTGATTCAGTTGAAGCTACACATGGCAAAACTATGTGTAAAGGGCGGAGGGGGGGTGGGGGGAAACGGGGAGACGGATTTCAGCCAATGTTTTCTGCTTTGGTAACCTCCTGATTCCACTGGGATTGCCGCTCCTAGTCTTCTTGCTAGCTAGGAATTTTAGGAGCAGCAATCCTCCTAACACAGATGCAGGGAGGAGGGCTGGTTTAAGTGCTTGGAGTCTTGTGCTCAGATTTAATGGTAGATGGAGTACTGTGAAACTCAAATGATGATTCATGTACCTGAGGGCGAGAGTGTGTGGTGGCACTGCATCTTATTTTCTGCCACCATATAAATTGAAACCAGTGTTTTTCAAAGATGGGCACTTTAAGATGAGTGGACTTCAACTCCCAGAATTCCCCAGCCAGCAAGGGAACTGTGGCTGGGAATTGAAGTCCATAAGTTTGAAAAACACTGATTTCAAACTTGTAAGAGCCTATACTCCCACCTTACGCTTGACTTATGAGAATGGCTTATCCAAGCAGGTAGCAGGTTCATTAGCTTCCCCCCCCCCCCATTTCACAACTGTAAACAAAATCACCCCATGAAATTGTTCAGGACAAACCAAAAACAACAAAACAAAACAAAAATTAACGAAAGACATAATTCTCTATTGTGAGATACAACGAGGATAGCCACAGACTAAAAATAGGAATAAATGTAAGAATAGACAAATATTAGCTGAAGTTCAGAGGCACGCTTTTGCTGAAGATCAAATTTTAATTCAGGGAACGGAAACTGTTTTATATTTAAGTGCTGTTTTTGTATTGTTTTAAAATGTTTACAGTTTATAAATCTTAAAAAAACATTTAAAACAATACAAAACCATATATATATATACTAAGGATTTTCCATAACATATTAAACAACAGCCTATCAAAATTGGAAGGCCAACTCCTATCTCTTTATTTCAGGTAAGCAAAAATATTTACTTGCTCACCCTTTATAGTATGCCAAGATGCTGGCAAACCTACTGATAATCAGAAGGGTAGGGAAGGGAAGGGAAGAGGCGAGGCAAGGGGAGGTGAGGGAAGGGAAGGGAGCAATGGGCAGGGGCATTCAGAAATCCAATGGCAACAATTGCTTTCTGTTAAGTGCAGCAACCACATACCAAAAGATGAAACCCAGAATACAAAAATAAACAAATCCTTTTTGCCTATTAAGTGCAATAGTGGGGGTATATGTGTGATGTGCCTTTCTCCTCCACCTCCCCCCTAAAATCAAAGGGGAGATTTTTTTTCCCTTGACAAGAGCTGAAGACCCATATTAGGCTTTAAATTCCTATACAAGTACAGAATCCACAAACAACTCTGACTTTAAAATGTTTCAGACATAACCTGCACGGAAGGCCCTGAATTAGACTAATAAAATTCCAGGAGGCAGCAAGAAGCGAGGCTGCACCTTATTTCAACTTCTCTTATCCTGAAATATAATTAAAGTTGATTTTGAAAACAAAGGTACAGTATGATCCAAAAGATAAGTGCACTCTGTTTTTTTAAAAAAAAGGCATTTTTCTCTGTAGCATGGAACTGCCATTTGTAATTAGTCCTAACTAGATAATTATCACACCTCCAACAGTATTTTAGTTATTAAGAAGCCTCACAATAAGAGCTCAAATACTTTGTTTTGCTTATTTTATTTCTCCATTAGGGGTATGAAAAACAGTTTGCAGAAATAAATTTAAGTACTTCAATAAAAATGGCTGCAAGCGTGTCAGTATGTCGGTGAATCTGATTTTTCATGAAGACGCTTTTAAATATATATATATATTTTAGTTATCCAATTCAGAGTCCCCTAGAACCTTTTCCCCATGTCCAATAGTGTATTCTTCTTTCTTGGCCTGTTATCAAACATGATCAGTAAAAGGTGAATGGAGAATTTACTAAAGGACCCAACAAGAAAGATATCCTGATCAGTCCAGTTGCAGATGCCCCATCTGTTTTAGACCAGGAAGAAGCCTCGTCTACTCCTCAAGAGTAAATTTGGAGGGTCCCATAGCAGCTGCCATACTTCTGAACCTTTTCTGAGCATTGGCCTACATCTTTAAGGAGTTCAGCAAGTCTTTCACTCTGTCACTGTTTAACACATTCAGTCGTTTGAAGCCTTTGCCGACACGTCCTGGTTCAGATGCTTGTAGAAGGGCAGCCAAGCCCCAAGGCTTGGAGTTGTCTAAAGGACGTTTCTCCACCTGCTGTAAAATCCAGGCACCGTCCCTGGCCAGGCTGACAAATCGTTGAAGCTGAGCTGCGTTTACATTCTTGCTAATGTTAAGATTCTCCTCAAAGGGATTCTGTATATGGAGGGCAGAAGCCTCTGGCTTGTTCTGCTCTTTCCCCTGCAGATTTTGAAAAGGAGAAACAAAATCCTTAAGTACCTGAACTTCAACTTCCTCTCTGAACAATCTTTCAACCATTATGTGAGAGATTGCACGACATACAAAAGAGATATTCCACCAACCATACAGGCAAATTTATGTTGTTCAGAAGACGGAAAGATAACGAATGAAAGGAATGAACTGAGTTGCTACAGAGAGAGGAGACACCTTTTCGCAAGGACACTAAAGCAGCTAGTAGTACAGATAGTCTTCAACTTATAACCACTATTTCCCATTGATAAGCAAGAAGATTGTCCTTGTGCTGGATTTTATTATCTTTTCTGGTTTGGTTGTTAAGCTAATGACTGTAGTTAGTAGGTAATCACATGATCGTTGAGTGAATCCAGCTTTCCCCATTGATTTTGCTTGTTGGAAGCCACTTAAGAAAGTCACAAAAGGTGATCACGTGAACTTGGGATGCTGTAGCTTGCTTGCATAAATGCTGTTTGCCTAGCACCTGAATTTTGATCACGTGACCACTGAGAATCTGCAACAGCTCTAAGTGCGAGGAGCAGTCATAAGTCATTTTTCCCCAGTGCCACTGTAACTTAAAAATGTTTCTAAACAAACAGTTGTAAGTCAAGGACTACTTGTAGTAATATCTTTTGGAACTGAATTAATTTCCTTCCTTTAGTAAGTGCACCCCTGGTGGCTTACTGCTAAACTACAGTATATGCAATCTTACACCTCTGAAGTCCTGTAAAAAAGGGGTTCAAGGGCAACAGTTTGTTATAGTGGATACGTTATTATGCTAGAAACTGAGAGATGATGAATTCTGGTCCTCCCTTAGGATGAACACCAGTTGAATGACTTTGGGACACATTCTCTCTCTCTCTCTCATCCTGGTCCAACTCACAGAATTGTTTATATCTACAAAAGGCAAAATACAAATCTAATAAAACAATGAACAAATAAATAAAGATTGCACTTTGTTTTACTCTGTCCTCTTTATCTCTTCCCCATTTGGCCTTCATTTACACCAGATGGTTGATCTAAAACATTAGCATCCAGTGATGAGCAGGAGGCAAACCTGATCATCCACCCTTTATGGATGATTGTTCTAATGGAACAATTTTTCCACTTGTCAAAAGGTTTGATGTCCGTTTCCCTAGCAGCCCATTTTCAAGTGGTCTAATTAGCTACTGTACTGCACTGCAATAAAATATTTAACCAGAGGTTTCCAGTCTTTCTAGACAGTAGATATATATCAATTTTTGATGTGGTGCTCTTGACTTTGTAAAGGGCTGTTGAGGACTGAGCATCTCCTGCCCCACAAGAGGTTTGATCAGGAGGATTGGACAGGATAATCAATTAGAAAGTCCCAATTATCAGCCTCAGGCTAACTGGTGCTTTGCTCAGTATCACAGCTTTTGCCCATGCTTTTAATGACAAGATGTTGTTTTTCAAAAGCCACCAAAGATTTCTCTATGAAATTACTTAATGCAGTTACCTTTCGGATGTTTAGTGAATTTTTATTGAAGGCAAAATTTCCATAGAATTCAAAGAAGTCTCCAAGAAGTACATCTGAAACATGAAATAGACATGAAGTTAGTAGAAAGGAAAAACGAAACCAGTGTTCTCAATTAATTGGTGGGAATATTGAAAATGTCTCTTTCCTTACCTAATGTTTCTGTGTTGCTTGTTGGAGCAATTTTGTTCAAATTACTAACAAATGTACAGTCAAACCCTTCAATTACTTCCTTGTCTTCTGCATCTGAAAAAAGAAGAATTTTACGAGCTTCATTAATTCAGCATCAAAAACAAGTTAGCATTTCTGTAAAGGGTTATACAAAATTATAGAACTCAGAATTGCTGACTGGGGAATTCTGGGAGTTGAAGTTCATTTGTCTTAAAGTTGTTGACTTGCTTAGGAAAGGAACATTTCATAAACAGTGGTTCTCCAGAAAAAAGTAAATTAATCATTCTTTTACCAGCTAGTTTCTTCAGTTGGTCCAAGGTGGGAACAATGGGTGGCTGCCTTTGTTGTAGGAAAAACAAGACCATCATAGTTAGAGAGAAATTGGTAATCCAAGCACCAGGGATGCTACTTGTAAGTCCATGATTCCATGCCCAGTATCGTATGCTGAATGCAAGAGCTCTTACACGTGGGTCAAGGCTGCCATAGAGATAAAGAAGTTCTGAACTTTTCAAGGCAATTCTGTCGGAACATAAAAATATCAAAAATGGAAGGGGAAATTACAGTAGCAGTGATAATATATTATAGTAACTTTATTAACTTTATTACCATCTGGCAGACGGTACAGGTCAATAAAAACAAGGACAAATAGACTGAAAAACAGCTTCTATCCTAGGGCAATAACCATATTGAATTCTACGATATAGTGCAACATCGGGTTTCCAATTTCAAATATACAGAATGTAAAGGATGTATGTTTGTGTTTTTATTTTTATAGTTATAATGTACACTGAAGACGGCATTTAATTTCGTTGTACCATGTGCAATGACAATAAAGTTAACTAACTTAACTAACTAACTAACTAACTAACTAACTAAAAGCTAACAATGTTTTAACTGTGAGTCCTTCGTTACCTCTAAGCTTGGTTGTTTGCTTGCAAATGTTTTATTACCTGGTTAGGTAGCATTACCAGTATATCTAGTTAGGTAATGAAACGTATGCAAGAAAACAATCAAGCTGAGAGAGCATCAACCCTGAACTAGTACTATAGATTCTCTTCTACATTAATATTTTAGCTTTCACACAACAGCTAATGCAAGCATATTTGAAAATGGAACTCCAATAAGAAAAGCAATTTCTAAGAAGAAAACGTGAAAGCACATTAAACTAATTAAGATTAATATGAGCCTAGTGAGCCAGTTCAACTGGCAACAGTGACGTCTTAAGCAGTCTGTTAACCAGAATTAATAAGTGTCCTCAAATATGCCAAACCAGAGTCCTTACTAGCTTTGGGCTGAAAAATCGCACTACAACATAAGGGTATTATGTGTGACAGCTGATAGGCCCCATGTCAGGTATAGGAAGTGGCTTTTATAAGGCTGTTTTTGAATACAATTTATATACAATACGGAAGCACTTTTCACAAAGAGGTTGCAATAGGAATGGCAAATGAAGTTACTTTTCTTCCCCGTTTTATCAGTCAGTTTCAGAACAGAAGTAAAAAAAAAGGAACAGAGTTCTTGAGTGGGAATGGAAAGGACTTGATTTAACTAGGAACAAAGGAGCATCACCATACACACAAAGAGAAATGATATAACAAGGCCCATAAATCCTTAGCTAAGACATGACACTGATCTATTCAATAGAATAAAGCTACTTCTCTTTCTCTCTCTTGGCAATTCGTGATTGAGTCATTAAACCAAATGAAAGAAGATTCAAAGGAAAAATGAATCGATTATTCCACAGAGATCTGCTTCCTCCTAGTGGCCATTGTAAGAAAATTATTCTTTCTGAATAATCCAAGTTTGGACAAAAATCCATGGTTTATCTTAACCATTTATAAAATAAATAACAAAGCATTAAATCCTGAATGTTATGTCTTTCTGGCTATTTCTAGAACAAGGACCAGGTGATGCATACAATGCTCAGATGGTGAGATCTGGGTTCAAGTCAGCCATTAGGTTTGTTAGTTTGCCACAAAGCCCTCCAGACGAATTTTCCTTGCTAGAGAGGGTATCTCTGGGAGAGTGGGAATGTCAGAAAAGTCAAGATGGTGTCCGCAATCATGTGACAGAAGTTCTGCCCCTTTATGTAAGATACACAAAGAGTGAGGTTTTGATTATACGATTCTGGTAGCCAATTTGGCTTGTTTGACTTTGTCAGACAAGTGCCCTTATAAAGATGAGATTAGGGTGATGTATTAGGAAATGCGAAATTCAGGTTCATGTCCACCATTAGCTATGGAAGCTCACAGGGTGGGTATGGCACCTTTTCTTAATCCACCCAATTGATAATGACCAACTGCTGTTGCGAGTAAAAAATGGCAGTACAATATACTCCCCCAGGAGGAAAGAGACTAACAATAGCAAAAAGGGGAAATGTAATTTTAAAATCTTGTAAAAATGCTTACCGGTTGTTTAGTGTCAAATCACACTGAAGTCCAGAAGGCTGATGGGAAAATCTCACCAATGGACAACGAGCATTAAGTATCTTTTGGACACCCTCGCATCCTGGTCCAGAGTTATCAAGAAATTCACCAAGCATGTTAAGGATCCTTTGGGCTGCTATTCGTTCAGAAGGAGCTTTCTTCATTTGGTAAATTATGTTAAAGGGGCTTGTTTTCTAACACAAAAGAAAACAAAGAATTAATTCACAAATCAGACATCCCATTCCCAAAGCTGAAACAAGGAGAGGGAGCATTGGAAATTAACGTCAGACTTTCCCACGTTAGGCAAAAGGCAGAGTACAGTTAACCATACTAAAAACAAATGTTTCCAGATAATGGCCATTTTTATTGGAATGAGAATTAAAGTTACATGGAACTAAAGCCTTCTTGATTTGCTTTTATAGTATTGTGTGCACATCTCTGAACTTCTTAAATTCTTAAAATTCACCTTATACCTCCTGTAATGTAAATTTATATTAAACTTTTCAAACAATATAAAACTTCTGGCTCAGATAGAGAATATTAATTTATATCAGCTCTCTTTTCAATTTAGTGCCCTCCAGCATGTGCTGGACTCCCCAATTCCTCAATCTGAGCTCCCACCATTCTCCTACATGGGTCCACCTGGAAATCACACTTACTGTTACATAAAAGCTACTTGAGAATCTAACATCTCAAATTCTGGAAACTCAGAAGGCCTCATTTAGGCTACTGACTGAGACCAACTCCCTGCTCACCAGAAATCCAAAGTAAACGATCCCTTGGCAAATAATTGTATGTATCTGTTTTGGTACAGCACAGAAAATAAATGACCTGCTTGTACATTTCAGAAAATAGTTTCTAACATTCAATCAGAATCTACCTTTTTGTAATACCGTGTACTCATAGTTGGAGAAGAATCCACAGATGCAATGACAACTATTATATCAGAGCTGGGGAATTTCTGATGCTGCTAAACTTGATGCTATTCAAACTTGGCAACTTTAAGATGGGGGGGGGGGGATTTTTACTACCAGTTCTCCGAACCACCCGCCTCCATAGCTACCGGATCGGGCGAGCATTTCACTCCTGATGTGACCATAGAGATACGGCAACTGTTTTAAGGGCAAAGACTGGTTGTAAAACACCTTTTTTCAGCATGGTTGTAACTCTGAACAGTTACTAAACCAATGGTTGTAAGTGGAGGACAACCTATAGTCCTGTTGTAGGCACAAATCTATGTGTAGGTGACCTTGGGCAATAATTCTCTCTCAATTCTAAGAAGCAGGCAAGGTTAAACCACTTCTGAAAATCTTTGCCAAGAAAAGGACAGGCAGTCAATGCTGATCTGAAGGCTCAATCAATCAGTATGGATATGAATAAGCCCAGAAGGGATCGAAGCAGTTGCAATGCCTCATTCATTTCTTGCATGCATCTCAAAAGACCGTGAATGGCAAAGCACAATCTTACGCTTTGAGTTTACATTTTCTTACAGCAATGGAACAAAAGCAGTAGTAGAAAGCACATCAGCGCAAAGGAAAGCACAGCTTCCTCCTGTTGTGAAATATGTCTTTGTTGACTAATGTGGTAAAGTTTCAAGGCTGTATGTGGGAAATCAAGGGGAAAACTCCAGGTTTCCCCAGGCTTAGTTTCTTACCGTTCAGCTCATGCTTGAGCCTTAGGGCTTAAAAGCTCTCAAAGTACTGAAACAAACAAAGCTATAAATACGATGATTAAAAATATAAATAAATAAATAAAAATGTTCACATAAAATATTTAAAACCATTTAAAAAGTATGATAGATATATTTAAAATGATCCTTTTCCAATGAGGAGAGTCAGTGAAAAAAAAATTCTATGAAAAATGATAAGAAAAAGTCAGAGCTTCTTTTTTATTTGCCAGAAATGAGAGACCCTGCAGGAAGGAGTGGTCATCAAAACGATTTGCTTAGTGAGACTACGTAGCAAGAAGCATGTGGGGAATTCGTCCATCCATCTTTAAATTGCCAAGTTTGCAAACTGCTGTTCTAAAGTCTAACAGTTTACAATAATATTGATTTTTCCTGCAGCAGCTGCTTCTTTTAAAATATAAGAGCATAACTATTTCTAACGTATTAAAAGTAACATTTAGCCTATTCAGGAGGTAAACATCTTTTTAAAAAGCTAAGGACAATGGGAATCAATCAAGAAATCAGACCAACTGCAGAGGCCAATGCTATCGTCATGGCCTCATTTTCATCTCAGCATAACACAATTAAGTCATTTTACAATAGCATTTGAGAAATATTTTACCCTTTTGGCAGAATTTTTCCCAACTTTATTCAGCTCCAGGAACATATCTAGGTCGCATCCAAGTTTGCCAAAGGTATTCACAGTAGAACCAAAAGGCTTCACAATACAGTCTGGAACATAAGCACTTGCAATATCTTGAATTAAGGAACAGGCTAAAAACCGGAGTTTGGTATTTTCTTCGGTCAACTGACATTCATTTGTGAGCAGGTACAACTGCTCACTCACCTGAATAACAACAATAATAAAAAGAGGAAATATCTCAGATTTTAAGTATCTGGTACTCAAGGTATTTGTAAGATGCAGCCTAACCTTTTACAATTGTATTCTTGTAAGAAATGGCATCAAGTTTAATCTTTATAGAATATACCCTTAAAGAATCTTAGAATAGCTAAAACATTAACAGATGATACAACCTCTAATAGACAAGTCTCCAAGTAAATAATCCTTTAAGTATGTATTGAAAGAACCGGCTGTTGATTCTATAAGAAGAGAAACAATTTAAAAGATGCAGCAAATAATTTCTAGTTGCAGTTTTCTTTTCTTCAGAATGCTTTGGCATCCTGCTGGCATTGTTCTTGCTGCTTGCTAAGAACATTATGTATTTTTAAAGATAAAATGGCTAAATTTCTGAGAAAAGGGCACCATGATTATGTACCATAAGATTCTATGACTACAGAAGCAAGAAAATCCTAGTTCAGAGGTCACCAACCCGCGGCTCTGGAGCCGCATGTGGCTCTTTCATTCCTCTGCTGTGGCTCCCTGTCACTCAAAATATTTGTCACAACTGCCACTGTGACACCCACCGGCATGCAATTTATTGAGCCGGTAGGCCAATCATGGATAAATCCAAGAAAAGTAAAGTTTCAGAAGAAAACAGAAGGTTTAATTCAACTACATATGCTAGTTTTGTGGCTGCTCAGCAAATAGTCGGGCATGGGAAGGGTTTTGTGGCTCCCGGTGTTTTCTTTTCTGTGGGAAACAGGTCCAAATGGCTCTTCTGAGTTTTTAAGATTGCCATCCCTGTCCCAGTTAATTTGGCTGTGTTGCACAAACTCCCAAAATTGGTTCCTAGAGCTGTTGGACAGCAGATAGTTTTATACCCTTTTTGGAGAGACAAACACTGAAGTTATAGATGTAGCTTTTATTAGAAAGTATTTTTGAGACTGGTTTTTGTATGAAAAAAAGTGTTTTATTTAGGAAATAACACAGTGGCTAGGAGATACAGTTTCTTAAGTCTAACTATAGTTATGAGTCTAGGATATGTTAAGAAGAACAAGCAAGTCAGGTGGGTACTTGAACTGCACAGGTCAGAGTCAGAAGAGAAAGAGAACTGAGACAGAAAGGAGCGATGAAAGCCCTGAAAACATCAGAATAATTGGTACAAGACATGTTATACTAAGACACACAAAGTGAATCTTTTAAACAAGGGAAGGAAATAAAAGGTTCTCTGCTAACTATCCCAATATTTATTGCTCCTTGTGGTTAGAAAGTTTATAGGTACGGAAAGCCAATGCATGCAAAGTTGAATTCCAACAAGAATTATATTTCTTCTTCAAAAGTGTAGCTGGAAATATTCTTGAATATACTTATCTGGATCAGTGATGAAACTGGATAAATTTGTAGTACAAGTTGATTCTCTTTGCTTTGATACAAATTGATATATAACTCACAGTTAACATAGGATGTTTAGTACAAATGAGGAAGCCAGACACCCTGTGTCACTTTCTTGTTGGATAGAAAAACGGAAGCAAAAAATAAACTTCTGCCTTACCATGCCAACTAATGTACTTAATATCTTAATTTTCTTTTCTTTTTCCTCTAAGACAGTGATGGCAAATCTATGATCCATGTGTCAAAGATGATATGCTAACAATATTTTTGATGATACACAAGCAATCACGGACAATTGACAACCTCTATTCTCAAAAGCACACCTTGTTCTCACATAATTTTTGAAGGCTGTAGAGGCCGTGTGAGACTGGATATGAATCTGGCCCAATCCCTGCACCCTTCCTGGCAAGAAAAGCCAGGGACTGGAATTCTTATGTATTAGGAGGAGACAATAGAAAGAAACACAGGGTCCATGTTCTTTTGCTTGGCAAGCAAGGCAAGCCCCAAAATAGAGTTCTACATAAAGCCAGAGGTTTTTTTTTCCTTTACAAGTTTAATCAAGATATTGATCGTTTGTCATACCTGTTAAAAACACCTGCACTTTTAGCAAATTCTTTGACCAATACTGATCTCTCAGCTTTAGCTACAACCCATTTTCCAGTTATATATTCAAAGCAAAAATAAGCCTGCTTGTTTGCTATCAAAGAATTGCAAAACAATTACTGCATGAACCATTACCGCATGAACTTACACTTTCTGCATCACAAAGTTTCTTCAGCAGCATTTCAACTGGAATAGAGGTTTGTCTATGACAAAGAATTTGGGTTTGTTCAGAACCGGGGTCTGACTGTTTTCTCAACATCAAGGTAAGGATTCTAGATTTAAATGGAATAGGGTATTCATCCTTAAATTCTGGAATTGTAATGACATCCTGCAATGAAGTTATGCTTTCTTTCTCAGAAAATTCTATGACTGCATACATAGCCTGAAGTAACATGAGACAAGAAACAGGAAAAAATATTAGGAATAAGAGCTTAAGTTTGAGAACACAGATGAACTATTTAAAGGATTAGGTTTTAATAATTAAATTGATCTGCAACTCAGATAGTCAAGTCCATTAGATTGATAAAATTAACTTCTTTTAAAATCCTTCAGGGCAAAAAAAGAGAATGTCAAAAAATAATTATTACGCCATCCAGTATAACAACAAAGCAGAAAAATATGGATTTTCTTAAACTCATCCATTGAGGCTTTCTCTCTCTGAAATACATATACCTTAAATATTTAGATTTCAGTTGCTAACCTTTCAAATACTTACTTTACTTTTATAGAAGAAATGATTCTTAATATTTCCATGCTGTGATAAGTATTTGAGAAAAGCCTTGGCATTGAAATTGGGGGGACAATTTATTAATACAGTCCTCTGTGCTTGTACTTGTCTTTCTGCAAGAATTTCACTGAATGTCTTTTTCCTGGAGTCATTTTCGCTATCTAGATTTGAAGGAGAACAAGAGACTAATGTGAGAAACTTAGATGACACACTAAAATTGTTTTTTTTAGAATTACCTTTAAGAAGTTTTTGATATGGAAAGAAAAGGTTTGGGATGCAAAGAACTAGATGGTATTTCTCCTGAGTCCCTTTGCATATTTCTCTGACTTGTTCTTTATAAACTATTTCACTGATAACGCAGCAAATTTATTAAGAGAAATAGATAGCGTTGATCAAGTACATGTTTGTTGTGTTTATTAGCATTTACAATAGCTAAAATAGCATTTTACTGCCTTGTAGCAAATTTCTGTAAGAGTTAAGAGGCAGAATTCATGTGAACTGGGGAAGTTGGGAACCAAATTCATGATATAGTTTGAATTTATCTGGAAGCTAATTTTTGGGTGTTTGGTGTCTCATTTATCTGCGGAATAACTTTAGCAGAAAACATGTGAAGTGTTGATAAAGAAGAATATTTGTAGGATTGAAATGAGGAATACATGATGTTCTCTGAGCTTGATTATTTTCCTGCAGATTTTTATTATCTAAACTAGGTAGTAATACCAGTGCTCAGCACTGATAATGTTACCTAGTTGGGTAATGCAAGAAAACAACCAAGCTCAACACATGAAGTGAGTATGAGTGACTAGCCTCAAAAAAGGGCAAAGAATTGAATCGATGTACAGCCTTCCTAAACTGACTGAAATAAGAAGGAATAAGTTGTTATTCTTCTAGATTTAAAAAACAAAGAGGATAGTGATTATCAATCAGTATCAATAAACCTAATGTGGGATTCTGATATAAGACCCATGTCCTCATGAAAAGAGATTAAAATGGTGAAAAATGCAGATATAGTTCAACATGACATAAATCCCACATGTTGGTTGTCTGCTCAATTTTTGTCGAAGTATGGTTTTGTCATTGCTCTTAAAAAAAAATCTTTGAACTAAAACCACCTAATATAAAACAAAAAATTATCTCAGTGTAATTTTACAAGAATTGTAAAATCATGAGAAAGCAGTTGAAAAAAGGAAATCAAAGAACTCAGGTCAATCCAAATTATATTTTGATTTCTTTTTTAATTTAGCAATTATGCAAATGAAAATTATGGAAATGATACCATGTCACCATGCATGGTTCAACTTTCCCTAATCTGGCTTGGGACAGATTTATATGGATAATATTATCAATGTTACTTGTTAAAATGGTTGGAGGAGGAACTTCAGAAAGATCGGAGAATAATCTGGTATGAAATATGTTTAATCTAATGTAATTGTCCTTGAATAAAAGGGAAAAAAAATATACTTATATTATTTTATATAAATAATATCAGAATAACAAGGATGCAGGCCATTGAATGTTATCTTGAATGGCCTTTTTCCCTTCAGATTCTTGGTTATGCAGCTACAGCAGAATTTTAATGTATCTGCACTTCAAATCCCAGAATTCCACATCAGCGCACTTGGGCACTGAGCAAGAGAGATGCATGCTGAGATTTGCAGCATGTTGCCAGTTACTGAATAAGCTTTTAATTTGGAAATACCCACCTCAAGATGTCCAACTTAAAATGTTTTCAAAGTTAAAACTATTCCAATATTGATTTATAGCACAGAAATATACAATTTTACCAATACTTTGTCAGTTAAAAGGATCCAGACAGACTTTTGGGTATATGATAACTTCTGTAACAAAGTGTGCATTATGTCACAGCTGAATTTAAAGTGGAGGTTATTATGATCTTAGTCCATATGAGAATGTTGCATTATTGGATCAAAGTATTGACTATCTGAGGTTTCTCTTGCAAAATAGAATAGGAAAACCCATGGCATTAGAAATGTATGAATCTAGTTGTAGACTTTTTATTACAGGTAGTCCTCAATTGAGCTCAAATTGGACCCAAATGTTCTCTTGCTAAGCAAGACAGTTTTAAAATGAGTTTTACCCCACTTTATGACCTTTCTTGCCACAGTTATTAAATGAATCATTATAGTTATTAAGATAGTAACATGGTTGTTACATGAATCTGTCTTCCCCGTTGACTTTGCTTGTGAAAAGTCACAAAAAGTGATCACAGGACCCCAGGACATTTCAACTGTCTGAATTTTGGTCACATGACCATAAGAATGTTGCAATGGTTGTAAGTGTGTAAAATGGTCGTTTTTCAGTGCCATTATAACTTCAAACAGTCAGTAAACGAATGTTTGAAAGTTGAGAACTGTTTGTATTCAATACTCTGGGTAATGCTTAAAGAACAGGTTATAAAGAAAAATTTAGATTTAAATGCTCACATCAAAACAGCTGTCAACAGTTGTAGTTCCAAATGGAAACATATCTAACATGCAGTAAGAAAAGGAAGTATCTGAAAACTTTTTGACTTACCTGCATTTTATGCATATGAACATTGTAATGAAGCTTGCCAATTTTATGGCATCTCAGCTCAAGAAAAGCTTTGTGTTTATCGGTATGGCAAGTATCAGAAGTGTTTCTGAACCTTTTTTAGTGAAATCCAGGAAGGTAAAAAAATACATTCTTCATACTGGAATAAACCACTACATAATAGTGGTTATTAATTATATTGATATGAGCTGTGGTGGCGCAGTGGTTAGAATGCAGTACTGCCGGCTGTCAGCAATTTGGCAGTTTGAATCTCACCAGGCTCAAGGTTGACTCAGCCTTCCATTCTTCTGAGGTGGGTAAAATGAGGACCCAGATAGTTGAGGGCAATATGCTGACTCTGTAAACCGCTTAGAGAGGACTGTAAAGCGGTATATAAGTCTAAGTGCTATTGCTATTAATAATATTAATTACTAATAGAAGATGATGTTACGAATATGTTTGCCGCCTTCAATTATTTGTAAAAACAATAAAGGCAGAATACAAATAAAGAATTAAAAAAATAAATTAGCTGCCACATTATCTATTGTCAGCTAAGAAACAACTCCTAAATGTGATTTCAGTGCACTGCTAAAGTGATTCTAAAATATCAACATTTGTATTTGGGGAAAACAATTACTCTTTGGGAGAAAAATTTTTTTTTTTTTAATGTTTTCAATTTTATTTGTTCTGTTTACAGCGTTTTATTTGGTTTGATGCCTGTGGAGATTCTCAGTCACGGTTGTCCCAAAGGTGCTTTTTATCTCCCCCCCAAAAAAGCAACTGGACTTTCTTTGTCTTTCCTGGAAGCCATGGAAGGAAAAGAAGAAAAGAAAGCCCAGTGGCCTTTTGAAAAAAAGCACCTTTGGGATATTTGGTTTGATATTTCAATTTGATATTTCAGTTCTATTTCGCTAGGCTGTTGGGTTTCAATCCATTCACTCTTTAGGTTTTCATTCGTTGTCTGTTCACATAAGATATTCCTGAACGCCATCACTCTGCTAAACAAACAATTCCTTCAACACTGTCAAACTAGTTACTAAGTCTGCACTACTATTAATCTTCTCATCGTTCCTATCACCCATCTCCTCCCACTTATGACTGTATGACTGTAACCTTGTTGCTGGTATCCTTAAGATTTATATTGACTTGTTTTCCTATGACTATCATTAAGTTTTGTACCTTATGATTCTTGACGAACGTATCTTTTCTTTTATGTACACTGAGAGCGTATGCACCAAAGACAAATTCCTTGTGTGTCCAATCACACTTGGCCAATAAAGAATTCTATTCTATTCTATTCTATTCTATTCTATTCTATTCTATTCTATTTATTCTATTCTATTCTATTCTATTCTATTCTATTCTATTCTATTCTATTCTATTCTTATATTCTATTCTTCTATCTACTCTACTCTCTACTCTCTTCTATTCTATATACTTGACTGGGTTTTCACCAACCTCTAGAAAGCAAAATGCTCCATATATTTTAGGCCAGGGGTCTCCAACCTTGGCTACTTTAAGACTTGTGGACTTCAACTCCCAGAATTCCTCAGCCAGCAAAGCAAAGCAAAGCTGGCTGAAGAATTCTGGGAGTTGAAGTCCACAAGTCTTAAAAGTGGCCAAGGTTGGAAGCCCCTGATCTTAGGGCATCACCTCGTGGCCCTCCTGTCTCCCGAGCCGCTTTCTCCAATGCCCTCCTCTCTGATAGGCCTTTGCCCAGTCTTATTCTTCGCAGGTAAAAATCTACGAACCATGAAGAGTAAACGGCATTCCTCCCCTATTTCGAAAATCTACACCAGCCGATCTAACGTTCGCCTCTTCCCTTAGCCGACTAGTCGGAAAAAACAAAAAGACTCCCCGTTTTTACCCTTCGTCGGCGCCATGCCGCCAGGAGCCTGCGGCTCTCCCAGGGACACCGCAGCGGCTTCCGCGGAGCTGAATCGAATCGCGCCGACCCGCCTCTTTGCCACAACCAGGCGGGATAAAAGCGATCCTCGCCATTGAAGCAACAGAGGCAAGGTCCCTGTGGGGGCAGCCATGACTGCCGAGAGGAAGGAGAGCGGTGCGCCTGCGCGCCGTGACCGAAACCGAACGGGACAGGGTAGCGCGAGGGCCAATATTCCTCGGATGACAAAAAACGCGTTTCCAGTCAGGGAATAGCTGCGGATGTATCAAATCTATTCAGCTTCATTCGAAGGCTTATTGGAGGGAGAAAGACTAACCTGGCAAAGGCATAAATTTAGCTTTACTGCGCTGGATGAAAGTCAAGATTGTATTTATTTGTTTGTTTGTTTGTTTGTTTGTTTGTTCAATTTATATGCCGCCCTTCTCCAGAGACAGGGCGGCTTACAATGCGTTAAGCAATAGCCTTCATACTTTTGTATATACCTGCTTAGTAGGGCTTTCCCTCCCCCCAAGCGGTGTTCTATTTTATACAAAGTCAGCTTATTGCCCCCACAATTCTGGTCCTCATTTTACCTACCTCGAAAGGATGGAAGGCTGAGTCAACCTTGAGCCTGGTGAGATTCGAACTTGCAGTAATTGCAGGCAGCTGGTGTCCTTAACACCACTTTAATCTGCTGTGCCACCAAGGCTCTTCTTTTTGTTTTTGTTTGCTCCGTAAGAGATCATGCTGGAATTATTTCTTGTAATTGATGTTACGCATATATTCCATATGAGAGATATGTGCAGATTTTGAACATAAGAGACTCCATTTGGATAAGGAGCTAACAATGACTGTGTTAACCCAACAACAATGTAGGTTTCCCTAAATCGATGTGGAAGAAGGTGGAAAAACAGCAAAATATGAAAGAAGAAGGAAAGTGGAAAGGAAGATGGAAAACAGCAACCAAGGTTGGGAAGCTGGATTGTCTTCATCACGTTGTATATTTCATTATTTTCAAAGCTTTGCACTTTTTACCAGATAATTGCAAATCTAGCTCCCATTGGCTCTTCTCAAAAAAAAAAAACTAAGAAAGGTGGACCTGATTGATACACGATTGTAGACTAGATGGGATGCTGGAAAACATCCTAAAAGAATCAAAAGCCAAGCACTGCCATACAGTATCACTGCCAAGAAAATGACATGAACCTAGCCACCAAGTCACCAGGAATATATCTCTGATATTTCTTTATATTGTTTGGTAATATAATCAGATCCAGTCTGAAAGAATTCTGGGTGGCATAACAAAAGCTAAGCAACAAAAAGAACAACATAATAAATAGCAAAATCAGAACAAAAAGAGCCAGTTGGTGTAGCTCAGTGTCCTTCAAACTTGGCAACTTTAAGATGTGTGGATTTCAACTACAAATATGCTATCTGAGGAATCCTGGGAGTCAAGTCCACACATCTTAAAGTTGCAAGTTTGAAAACAACCTGGGTATTGCTTAAGGCCTAGAAACTAGAAACCTTTGAGTTCTAGGTTTCAGACATACTCTATAAATTGCCTGTATGACTTTGGGCCAGTCACACTTTCTCACCTTACAGAAGTTGGAAAATAGGAAGCAGAATTAGGTATGTTTGCTGTCTTACATATAAAAAAGGCAAAACAGAAATAGAATAATAGCAATAATTCCCAAAACAAAGCATAACCATAGGTAGCAATGCTAAAACACATAAAATCCCACATAAAATTCAAGATAGTTGCTACATTCAGCCAGCTGGGATGGAAAGCACATAGAAATAAAGCAATTTTTGCCTGTTGGAGCAAGGTGAGTGCTACTTATGCTTTCTAGCATCGGGAAACAATGTGTCCCAAACTTAAGCCATTTTAAGCTGTGTAGGTTTTAACTGGCAGAATATTGCAGCCAGCAATACTGCCTGGAATATAATACAACCCACGCATCTTAAAATGGTTACAGCTGAGAAACAGTGGCTTGGGGAGAAAGTATTCCATCAAGGAAGGGTCTGCGGCTTCATCCACACCCTAAAGACCTCATAAGGGGAGGGACCCTTCAGCACACCCTCCCTCAACAACTGGGTCAGTGAGTAGAAAATTTGCAGGCACCGCCTAAAGCAGACTTAACCCCTCCCGATGTACATTTTTCATATACCAGCCCTGTATTTATCACTCAAGGTGGCCCATAATGGCAGCACTTAGGATCTTTGGAAAAATACTTACCACCTGTCTCATTTTGATACCTCTGAAAAGAAATGCATTAATTCCGCTGAAAAGACAAGGGTTATTAAAGTGGGCAGGGTTGACAGATGAGTGTGCACACGTGTGTTGGAAGTGATGACATGCTTTCAGTTTTACACCCAGACAGTAGATAACCACCCATCCTGTTTCTTCTTTGCTCCTAAAGGCTGACTATTCAGAGCAACCAAATGTAAAACAAGCCATTATTTGTATTAAACGTACTGTGTTCTTCAAGTATAGCAACAACAACATTTTTTTTTTTTTTGCTTTAATTTATATGCCGCCCTTCTCCGGAGACTCAGGGCGGCTTACAATGCGTTAAGCAAAGGCCTTCATAGTTCTGTATATTTATACAAAGTCAGTTTATTGCCCCCACAATCTGGGTCCTCATTTTACCTACCTTTGAAAGGATGGAAGGTTGAGTCAACCTTGAGCCTGGTGGGATTTGAACTTGCAGTAATTGCAAGCACCAGATGTTAATAACAGTGCATTAGTCCACTGTGCTACCAAGGCTCTGATTTGATGTCACTATGGATGGAGTTGGTTGAATATATGAAAAAATAGGGTCCATTCAGGGGATCAGGCAGCCTTTTGATTTTAATAGAAATGAAATCTATCTAAAAGCATCAGGAAAGTTGGTAAATATTCACTGGAGCAGACCAGGGCAAAGATGGCATTGTTTCTGCCTGCTGGGCAGGATGCTGAATAAGCAGGCATTAACTGCAACATGTCAGGAGAAGAGGGTGGAGAAGGTGAAAACAGCATCATCCTCTTAAACCGTAAGTGTAAACTGCTTTAAATTTACTGGGAAACATACTTCAAAATTGTGGAAGACGGAGTGTCAACCATGGGTAGGAGAGGAAAGAGACGACAAGGCTTCTGAGTCAGCCATACCCAGAATACAGGCTGAAGAGATTCCCAATTTATTTGGTGCTCTACATTTTCTTAAGAGTCTTTCTTTGCTGTTGAGTTGTTATCCACAAAACTAAACCTCATAAAACTAGCTATTTTCACTGCTGATCCTGATCCTGCTACTGCTGCTTAGGGGTCAATTTGCACTCTTCCCCAGGACAACTGTCTTTGTAATCAATGTTTGCCAATTTTACAGATCTTGTGGTTCCATTGGAACTGGGGGTGGGGTGGGGACAGAAATTAATTTTGTTTGCATTATTGTGGCTAAAAACAATTTAAGGCTGTTTCATCTGTCACCTGGAAAGGAGATAAATGTAATGTCATAGACCAGGGGTGTCAAACTTGTGGGCCGCGGTCTGGATGCATCACGCACTGGCCACGCCCACCCCCGTTTTAGTGAAGGGTAAAAAAGTTGAGATATGTCACATGACGACATGTCATCGTGAGTTTGACAACAGTGTGTGTTCATGTCACCTTTAGGTACAAATAGGAAAAAGCCCCTTCTTCACAGCCCACTTAAATGCTATCCACAGATTTCAGCCAAGAGGACTGATGTTGACTACAGAGTACATTTGCTGACCCAAATTGTGATCCCTATCCTGCCAGGTGAGAGATACTGGCAAACGCTGTTGTCCTAATTTAAGCATACAGACCGTGGTAAAAGCAAAGATTGCTAGATTTCCGCCAACTTCGTTTACCACTCCCCCGTTAACTAAACACTCCCCTTAATGTGAACAGAGACTGGGGAAGGAAGCAGGTTTACTGGCTGTTTAGCCATCTGTCAAAACTTGTTCTGGTTTGGCACAAGTATTTTGCTCGTTTCAGATATAGCTTATATAGCTGGGCAACTTTTGAATGTACAGAACAGTGCTGGAGTGGAAAGGATATGATTTCACCATGCTAAAGTGCTAGGTTGATCCCACCATTTGGAAAATGTATTCAGTGCCCAGATGGTAAAGTATATCGAATTGAACTCATAGCAAAAGCCTACATCAGGAGTCCCCAACCTGCCATATTGTAAGAATAGAATATAATCAGGGGTGGGATTCAAGCCAGTTCGGACTGGTTCAGGCGAACCGGTAGTTACAGCCAGGAGTTGGGCCCACCCTCCCACCCCCGCCCTATCCTGTCCTATATTTCCTTCTTTCTGGCTCAGCTGATTCGCTTGCCACAGCTGATTTCTGCGCCTTCGCTGTTCTTACCGGGGCTGCTTAGCAGCTGAAGTAGCTGAGCTTCAAATGGCTGTATTTTGAACACTGCGTACAAGCGCATTAGACGCGCTCACAGAACCGGTTGTTAAACCGGTTGCAGCCCACTACTGAATTTAATCCTGTGTAACATACTTATTTTGTACATATTACAACACATGTTAATTATTTGATATTTCTAGTGAAATGCCTTGCAGACAGCAGGACTATACACTAAACAATATTCATTAGAAATGATGCAGCAGGAAGTTCTCTGCTTCAATAGAAAATATCTGTAGCTCACGTTTAAACTGTGGATCATGGTGCTCTCTTAGCTTGGCTGATTGCTTGCAACATTTCATTACATGTAGTCCTCACTTAACTGCAACTGTGACCAGTAACAGACTTACGTCAGTTCTGCTGTTGACATTAAGCAAGACATCATATGACCCTGACTTGCAATTTTATTGCTGGCTTTTCCATTGACTTTACTTGTTGGAAGTTAGCTGTGAAACACAAAAATGATGACCATGGATGTTGCGATGGTTGTAAATGCCCACCAGTTGCAAAGTTCCCAAATGTCACCCAGATTTGGCCATCAGACCATAGGGATGCTTCAATAATTATAAATGTGAGGGCTGGTCATAAACATACTTTATTTTCTCAGTACCATTGTAATTTTGAACAATCACTAAACAGGATATTCGTTAAGTGAGGTCTGCCTGTATCTAACTAGGTGACATCATTGCTGTGGGGGACTATAGTATGTGCTGCCTATTTATATTTCCTCAGGTTTCTTTGACAAAACTACACTTCAACCAAAACAACTGCAAGCAAATCGCCAAACTCAGAGAGCACCAAGGACTCTACAGTTTTTACTCTCCATGATCTGACTTAGTGGAAGATTCTTTCATCTGTAGATATCATGTTTTGGGGTCCTAGGAATAAAAAATCTTACTTGTCTATTAATAATTTTACTTGTCTATTTTCTTTCTTTTCACACTTTTTTACAGTCCTCATTTATACGATTGAGAATTTATTGAATCCCCTGATAGCTAAATGTGTGCTACATCCAACACAAGGGAAAGAAAGGGGGAGGGAGAGAAATCACCCTGCTTCTATGAAATTACATTTTTTTTTTACAATTGGGTAATTTGTACAGGTTAATTTGTAATTAGTAATCTGTCCCTTTGATTAGGTTGACCATCTTTGGATGCTTTGAAGCTTTATTTCACTATTTAGGATGATCTTGTATCTTTCCTTAACACTTTCAATAGTGATGTGTGTTTAAAACAAGCTAACCCTTTTTAAGATTCAGTTCATTTTTGTATTTGTCCTCAAGATGGGATGAAATTATTTTATTGGTTTTGGGCAGTTTTGATGGAGAAGGCTCTAAGGACTGCCAAAAATCAGTTACTGCTCTTCTAACACAAACCCCATAGACAGTTACGCAAACTTGAAGTGATATAATTTAGGGCAGAGGCCTAATTTGCAGCTGCTACTGTTCAACAGTTGGGAATTAGGAATCCTCTCTGTTCCACTATAGGTATCACCCAATATCTGCCAGTAGATCCTGATCTCGCTTCTGTCCTACAAATGCACTTCTGGAAGGTTTCAACCACACCCTTGTGCTATTTTGAGATAAACCCTGAGTTGTGATTTCCATCTGTGTGGGCTAGGAGTTCCCTGATCACTTACTTATTCTATGATTAAAATCTGATTCTGCTGGTGGCTCTAGGCCAGGGGTCTCCAATCTTGGCAACTTTAAGCCTGGAGGACTTCACCTCCCAGAATTCTGGGAGTTGAAGTCATCCAGGCTTAAAGTTGCCAAGGTTGGAGACCTCTGCTCTAGGCTGCCAACCTGTGAATTAAATTTGTAAAAAAAAATTGCAGAGATTGCAAGGAATTTGGAATCACTATCTCAGCATAAACGGTGGTGCAGTACTATAAATATTCTTCAGTTGCACTTGTAACCATTTTCAGAGATACTGAGACTTCACATTTCTTTGACACCTTTATATGCTATTTGGGTTATTGTCTGTTTTGTTGACTGCAGATGGAAAAATATAGATTGCAACATCAGCATGTAGCTTACAGAATATACTACTATCAAAAATACATCACGGTTTTGTGAAAGAATCCCAACCCTTCTGGATGAAGGACCTGATACCATCAGTATGTGGATTATATTCAGTTATGCATCTCAACCCAATCCAGGTCATGTTGTCAGTCTTTTGTCCATGTCTGGAAGCAGTTCCAGAGATGGAACAGATTCAGGTTCAATTCTAACCAGCCTGAATAGTTGTAGATGTTTGGATCCCTGGATCTTGGAACATGTTATCTTTAGTCTTGGAAGAGATAGCATAAGAACATAAGCTGTCCTTAGTGGATCAGACCCCTGATTACACAAGGAACACCACTAGTGTCTCAGTACATGACCTACAGTGAGTCACACTGCCATCAAGGCTAATAGATATTGAGCCAAGTTGCAGGTGATAGCTTGGCCAGGAAGGCTTTGCAGTTATCTGATGTGCCAGTCCTATATCTACTCATGATCCATTCAACTCACAAATGGACTATTGCAATGCAACTTCATGAGGTTGCCCTTGAAAATCACTCAGAAGTTACAGGTGATCCAGAATGTAATAATCTAGGCAATGATAGGCATGTTGCGGTATGTTTATGTGTCTGCTGTTCTCTGAACTGCACTGATTGCCAGTTGATTTCCAAGTACAATTTAAGGTGCCAGTTACTATCTATAAAATGCTTCAAGACCATTTGAGGGACCCAGAACTATTTGAAGGATCTCTGATAGCTTCTGACCATCCAGAAAGACTGGGCAGAATGGATGTGCTCCAGATCCCTTCAATTAAACGGTATCATCTATTGAGACTTAGACTTACTATTTCTGTCATGGTGCTTTCCCTCTGGAACAGACCCCTTCTCCTCCCTGCCAAAAATACCCTGTATGACTCTCAACCTGATGCTATTTTAAAAGTCACTGAAAATCTCCAAATCTTAAGGTACATTATATGTTGCTTCTTTGATATGCTACGGATGCTTTCTCCGAATTTGCATGATACCTTTTCTCTATTTTATCATGTTTTTAAGGTGTAAGTTATCCAGGGTTCTCAGGATGCTTTTACATTTAATGAAATGTCTCTTATTACTTCGTGTTTCCTTTTCTCCACCCTGATCATGAAATGAGCCAAATGACACATAGCCAGAGTTGTGTCCTTTCTATACACGTGCTATGTGAAAAATTCTTTTCAGTGCTCCTGCCTGCCCCATTAATTATACTGTTTTTCCAATAGACTCTTGTGACCTGCCCTTGTAAATCTGCCAAGATGGCTTCAGAAAGAGCCGCCTCTCTTTCCTGTGAAGCTGGCCTTAAAAGGACGAAGGCTTCATTACAATTAATTATGAGTTTAAACATACTAATGATACTGACAGGTTGTTTAAATTAATGACATCTTGAGGCTTGCTGGGGAGAAGGTGCTTGACTCCTGGTTTCACCTTCACCGATCATGCTCCTTAATTCTCTTCCTTTGATGTCTTCCACCCTCTGTTCCTCACCTGTACTAGATTCACATCAAAGGTAGAGTTTTGGAAAGGAATTGGCTGGAACGGAGTTCTGTGAGAGATTAACCAGATCAATTCATTAGCTCAGTGTTCAACCAGGTAGACAATGATGAGTTAAAGAAAGGAATAAAATTTTATCTCAAATAGAACTGACTTTAGATGTTTATGGTTGGAACTGCTGGAAAAGTAAACTCATTTTAACTCATTTTATTTTGTTGTAAACATTTATATACAACTTCATTATATATGAATATAATCATTATGTATAAATATAATAATATATGACTATTATATAATCATTATGGTATTTGAATATAATCATCCATCACTGGAGGCTTTCAAGAAGAGACTGGACTTGTCTAGAGTGGTATGGGGTCTCCTGCTTGAGCAGGTCTGTTCCAAAGTCTCTTCCAACTCTGTTATTCTGTTATACAGGATTCCAGGAAGGTGTATATTATATAAAGATAATGCTTAATTTTCCTTTGAATTGAACTCAATTCCTTGTGATGCCCATGTGCATTTAAAAAGAACTAATATGGGAGTGGCTTGTCATGACCTTCTTTGAGGTATCTAGTCTATAGCCCTAAAGTTTCTCAATGGTATCCCTATCCAAGCATTAATCCCAGTGACGTTTTTTGCTATCCCCAGCCTCCAGAGACACCTAGAGAGGCTCCTAGAGACTCCTAGAGAGGCTCCTAGAGACTGCTAGAGAGGCTCTGGAGGCTGGGGACAGCAAAAAATGTCACTTCCTCTCCTACCGGGAGTCGGGAAATGGGCCATTTCAGGCCTTTGGAGGGCCTCTGAGGGAGTGAGAAAGGCTGTTTTCGCCCTTCCCAGATAAAGAGAGAGGATCTGGAAAGAAAAAGGGGCCTACCAGGCCATCATATGCCAGGAGCGGGGGGGGGGTTTGCACATGCGCACATGACTCTCCCTGCCCCCTCCCCTCCTGGCACCTGATGGCAAAAAGGTTAGCCATCACTGGACTAGACACTAGAGTATAAATAACGTGAAATGCACATCAATAAACTGTAGTGGACCTGACTAGAAAAATCATGTACAACAAAGATGGGATATTTGCAGCTGGCAGGACGTTCTTTATCACTTCCTGGGCAACCCACAGATTTCTGGAGAAATATCTCATTCTGCTGTCAAGTGATCAGTCTTTAGCTAGATACGGATACATGGGGAAAGCCAGCAGTTCACTAAAGTCATGGTTTTAGTAGAGGGGAAATGAAATTTTAATCTTGGTCTCCATTTCCCAAAAATCATGATGCACTCAAGATTCCTGTTGCCTACACTTGAAGCAGCAACTTTTATCACCATCACTGGAGGTGAAATTTACTGTCATGTTCTACACACACACTTTCCCCCCTTACTCTCAGTATTTCTTCATCATCGTGTTTCAATATAGATCTCACTATTGGTGCAGCTTGGCTGCTAATTTAATTGCAGAGGAATAATGACAAAAGAACCATGTCCCTAATCAACTTGTGAGCACCCAAAAGGCGCCTTGTTAGCTATTACGAGAAGTAAATTCTGGACTACAATGGACATTGGCTAGATCTATCTTTCTAATTTCTGTGAGCATCCACAAGATGGAACAGAAGATGCAGTTGAATCCCACACTTATCCTCATAAATAACATAAAAATAACATAAAATAACCACTTTAGAAACCAATTTTCTTTCTTTCTTTTCTCTCTTTCTTTCCTCCCTCCCTTCCTTCCCGCTCTCCCTCCCTCTTTTCCATACTGCCCAGTTCAAACAACTCTAATTTGCAATAACTAACATAAAATAGTAATTAATATGGCTATCCAACCAATGTCTCACATAACTTAACCTCCAAATCAGTGGTGAAATGTAAAATTTGTTACTACCAGTTCTGTGGGCATGGTTTGGTGTGTGTGGGGGTAATGTTCTGTGGTAGTTATGTTCTGCGGTGGTTCTCCTCCTATCTCTCCGACCAGTCTGAGTCGGTGTTGGCAGGGGGCAGAGGTCGACCCTGAGGCGCCTTGTTTGTGAGGTGCCTCAGGTCCTCTCGCCCCTTCTGTTCAACATTTATGTGAAGCCGCTGGGTGAGATCATCCGTGGCTTTGCGGTGGAGTACGCAAAGTACTCCATCGCAACTTTGAGTCAACCTTGAGCCTGGTGAGGAGCCTGACTGGTGTAGGAGGCTAATGCCTATTACTAAGGCAGCATTTAACATCCAGTTGCCTGCAATTACTGCGAGTTCAATTCTCACCAGGCTCAAGGTCGACTCAGCCTTCCATCCTTTCTAAGGTGAGTAAAATGAGGACCCGGTTTGTGGGGGCAATAAGCTGACTTTGTATAGAATATACAAAAGTATGAAGGCTATTGCTTAACGCATTGTAAGCCGCCCTGAGTCTCCGGAGAAGGGCGGCATATAAAAAAAAATAAAAATAAAAAAAATAAATTTGAACTTGCAGTAATTGCAGGCAGCTGGTGCTACTTAACAGCACTTTAGCCTGCTGCGCCACCAAGGCTTCACCAAGGCATGTGGATGCTATGAGTGGCGCAAAAAGCCATGGAAAGATACGTGCTTGCCATTACAAAACAAGATAGAAAGGCCTGCATACGGATTAGAGAACAAGTGAAAATATATGATATCATCAAGAGAGTAAAAGAACTGAAATGGAAAAGTCACATAGCAAAAAGAACTGATGGCAGGTGGACCAAGGCAGTCACAGAATGGATCCCACTTAATAAAAAGCATCCACCAAAGAGACCTAAAATAAGATGGATCAATGACATCAGCAAGTATTACGAGCCCAGTTGGCAAAAGAAAGCTCAGGACCATATTGGTTGGAAACACGCAGAAGAGGCAGTGGATAGACTGTCTATCCTGCAGTGGATAGACAGTGGCTAAAATGGTGATTATACTCCTTCATATGATAATACAAATGTATTAACATTTAGACAATATTAACTGATGGTGCCACTTAGCTCTTCTCTTTTTTAAAAAATTCTATTTATATTGGGAAGATCAGGAAACATACATAAAAGGAACAACATTCAGTTCTCTTCAAACCTGTACATTTCAACATAAGAGAACTGTAGCACACTGCATCTGTACTAAATCCTAGGTTTTTTTTAAAAAAAGAAATCAAGTAAGATGGATACCATGGGATACATTCGATGTGAACCTGTGAGCAGGTACTATATCCACTAGGACTAGGTTAAAGCTTCAGTTCACTTTCAGTTTCCGTCTCCCTGAATCTTACATGCATTACAAATCTGCCCAGGGATTTCCCCAAGCCTCCAAAGTAAATTTGTAGGCTGGCTGTGTGTGTTAAGAGGAAAAAAAAATATCCTCTGTTGCATCCCATCTCATCAGCAGAATGTCATCTAATTCAGGGTTTCCCAACCTTGGCAACTTTCAAGATGTAGACTTCAACCCCTAGAATTCCCTAGCCATTCATGCTTAACCCACACTGGCTGGGAATTCTGGGAATTGAAGTCCATGCATCTTAAAGTTGCCAAAGATGGGAAACACTACTCTAATTTATTTTTACAGTAACATACACTTCATAAACATAGGGGCCAGTAGTGGGTTCCACTTATCTTCGCTAACTGTTCGGAACTGTGAGTGCTCGTGCGTGGCACTTCTGCGCATGTGCAGAACCTTCTGTGCATGCGCAGAGTATCCGTGATGACGTCCAGGCAGGTGGGTGGAGCCTCCAGCCGCCATCCCTACCAGTTCGCCTTAACCGGGGCGAATTGGTAGAAACCCACTATTGATAGGGGCTCATTGTGCAGTTCTCTGATGCTGCTGAAATATAACTTTCTGGTCTGGGCTAGATAAGTTGGAACTGCTGGAAGGAAACAAAGTGGGGTGTTTAGTATGCCAGTGCTGCCACCTAGTAGCCATCCAGAGTTTTGCAGCCAATGTATAAATCTATAATTTAGCACATGAAGTAGTCTCTGCATCTCTTACACAGTAAGAGTAAATCTAAAGCTTTAACTGAATTAAATATAGGCTAGTTTACTGCAATATGTTAAGAGGTGATGTGATTGTTTCTGGTTTACCATGTTACCTGAGCTGAGCCAATAGTCAAAAAGGTTAGACAATGATTTCCACATTACATTCCTGAGCTATTTTTTTTTTAATGAACACTGCTTTTGTGTCAAATTTTAGATTATGAACTGTAATTCATAATCTAAACTGTAGCAGCATGCCAGTGTAAAGGCTTTGGTTGGTCACCATTCTGGCACTTATTTCAAATTAAATTCTGCATTACATCAGTTGTGGTAAATACAGTAGTGTGACTGAAATAATTTTTTAACAGGTCATCTGCTTGTTTCAATGGATCTCCAACATGTTCTCAAAAAATATGAAGTAATTTTCCATACATTTCACCAATTTTGTATATGACAGATGAAGTATCAAATACATTTTCTGTCTTTTCCAATAGAAATAGATGACTAAAATAAATGATGTGGGTTGTAATGTTTTATTTATCATAAAGACTGTTAGGTTTAACTTAGTAGTTGGTGAAAGTTAGGTTTTGACCTAGCTTGTTTTATGAAGACATAACATTAGTTTGTTTCATTAGATTGCCCAGCCAGACCTCTTAAGTTGCTAGGGGTGAAAAACACTGCCCTAGCCTACAACACTCATAACATTATTAGCAATTCTCTTTTGGAGCAACAAATCTGCAGGACAGTGTAAGAATAAAAGCAAGCATCTGCTAAAATCAGCAAAGAAGAGCATCCATATGCCAGGCTTCAGATGTCTCACTAAGCTTCGTTTAGCCAAGATTCTCTGAAGAAACTAGCATTAATAAAGGAGAATATTTGTAGCTCAGGGTTGAAACGAGGGGTCTTTGGTACTCTCTGAGCTTGGTTGTTTTCTTGCAGATATTTCATTGATCCAAAGTAGGTAATGTCATTGGAATTTTTAGAGGCATCTTTCTCCCTATGGTTTTGAGAATTTTTACTAGAATACAGGTAGTAGTCTCGACTTACAATCACAAATGAGCCCTAAATTTTTGTTGTTAAGTAAGACATTTGTTAAGTGAGTTTTGCCATGTTTTACAACCTTTCTTGCCTCAGTTACTAAGTGAATCACTGCAGTTGGTAACCCGGTTGTTAAGTGAATCTGGCTTCCCTATTGACTTTGATTGTCAAAAGGTGATATCACATAACCTTGGGACACAGCAACGGTCCTAAATGTGAACCAGTTGCCAAGCATCTGAATTTTGATCACATGATTATGGAAAAATGCTGCAAAGGCCATAACTGTGGAAAACGGTCATTAAGCCACTTTTTTCAGTGCCATTGTAATTCTGAACCATCACTAAATGAACTGCTGTAAGTCAAGGACTACCTGTATTAAACTAATCTCTAGAACTCTTGTATGGTAGTAAATCTAAGATTTTGTAACTGAATTGAAGTATGGGCTAGCTGGTCAATGATTCAGGTCTGATGTCATTGTTTATTGATATCACTGCTTATTTTTAGCATGTTGCTTTAAGTCCAGACAATACAATGTTTGTATGTTCCATGTGTTAGAAGAAATATCCTTCTGGGTTCAGCTCCAAATGGGGAAAAAGGCACTGGAAACATGGAGATTGCTTGGAAAGATGGTTAATGGTGGACAGGATCACATGGTTTGAGTTCCTGAACAGAAAAGGGCCAAGATGCAGCAAGTCTCCGGGTTTTATGCCCTCTCTGGCTTTGAAACTTCCTGGGCCCCCGAAAGAGTATCCTGATTAGTTGTCAGACTCCCAGGGGGTGGGGGTTTTAGCTAGCCTTGCTGGCTGATGTAATCTTCCCAGGTGCCATGTGGTGAGTTTCTGTTGCTAGATGGGTCCTATTGTGTTGCAGATGATGGTCCATTGACAAAGATGGGAGGGAACTGAGTTTCTGCCTCTGGCCCATTGACAAAGGGTGGGAGGGGCCAAGAAAGTGGGAGCCGCTTTGTCTTTAAAACATGCTTCTCCATTTCTCATCAAGGGAAACATAATATTCTGCCTTTTTAATATTTCCTAAAATATTTCATTCTTCTAGGAAAGGGGTGGGTGCTAACTTCCTACACATGCACACAGTTATTTTTTTAAAAAATAAACCCTGCTGTGCCAACTTTTAGATTGTAGTAGGAACCACACAATAGGGTCCACCCTGTTGCTGTTGGTGGCCTTACAAGAACTGACCACTTTTGTTCCTCCATTTCTCTGCCCCCATTAATTTGTTTCTCCAAATTGTTTTTGTTTTTTTCATCTCCCCTCACCCACCCGCCCCTTAATTTGGTTCCTATTAATAAAATAATAAGGGTGGGATAAAATATCTAAATAAATAAAATCCTTTTCTTTTCTTTTTTCTATTCTCCCGCCCCCCATCTCATTTCACCTCTTTTTCAAGACACAGCCCGACTCTAAAAGAAAGACAGCCCTATAGCAGGCCTGTTCAGTGTCCAAAAACACTCGGACTGGGCAGGTTGTTACTCGACAGCCTCGTCGCCTCTCGCCCTGATAAACCCACCACGCCGCGGTCCCCGTTCTCCTTCCGCATTGCTTCCGAAACCGAAAGCGGCGCAAAACTGGACCTTCCTCCCTGCTGGGCGAGCTCTGCAGCTGCATAGGCTGGATTTTCCAATCGGCCCTCCTCCTCCTCCTCCTCCCTCCTCCTCCTCCTCCTCCTCTGCCCGGCTTTTCCCGTTCCAGCAGGGGAGCCGAGCGCTCAGCCTGCCCAGGTATCGAACGTGACGCGCGGGGAGAGCCAGCGCGCTCACCTGTTGCTCGCCTGGGATACTTTTTTCCTTTCGCGGGACAGGATCGGGAGGCAACTTTCCCCTCGGCCCGGTCAGCTATAGGGAAGAGGGAAGGTGACAGGAGAGCCGCGGGTGGCGGAGGAGCAGAGGGTCAAACGTATTCGCGCTCCCGGGTGTAAGTAAACCAGTTGCCTATTTTCTATGAAGGAAAGGACGAGTTTGGGCATAAGAAAATTACTTCTTTCTTTTGGAATTAATGTAACCCGACTTGATCTTCGGCTGTTTATGGTTAAAAATGACGTGGGAATTTCGACTCGGTCACAACTTGTCTTTGGGAAATGTTTTATTTATGCTTTTGCAACCCTACTACTTGGGAATGTAGTAAGTATTTTATGCATCGCATTTACAGCCGGGAACTAAAACTAGGAACTATTTATAAGGATTTAGGCGTTAAATAGGGCGATCTTAGTCTCTTTAAATATTGAATGTCCTGTCAGCGTTTGCTTGATGTACTCTTTTCTTTAATGGTAGTCCAACCCAGGTTTTAAATCAAGCAGTTTATGCTGTAATGTTTCCTAGCTACACCCGTCTGCACCCATTATTTCCATCCTGGAGAGCATTGGGAAAAATAAAAATAATTTTTTTGCTCTTCTGTAACTGTTTTTTTATATCAGTTTGCTTGCTAAAATGTGGTTGGTTAATTTATTGGGCTCAGCTAAGCAATTGACGAACATCTACTTAAAAATATCTTCAGAATAGGTATGAACTTGTGTTTTAAGCTACAAATGTTATATGCATGAATTTAAAACAGTTGAATTTAATATTTAACAATGGAATCTCGGATTCTCGTATCAGTCTGTTGGAAATGGATCTTCTTAAGTTTGCATTGGATGGAAGGGAAACTTATACAAGAGTCTCCTTGTCTTTTGTGTTAACTATCACCAAATGTTCCCATCAGTAGTGTGGGAGAAGCTCAGTGGAATATATTTGTCCTTGGAGAGGAAGGTGAATCTGCGAGGAAATTCCCTTTCAAAGTTTATCATGAGCTCCGGACTCTCCCTTCTTCTTGCTTACAATATAAGAATAGCAACTTTATTTTACCTGATAGGACTGTTGCAAAGCTCAAGACAAATCTGTGCTAGAAAGTGATTTGAAGGTTATTTCTCCAGTTTAGCATTCGAGGGGCAGTGGAATACCAGCTTCCAAAGTTTTTAGCAAGTCCATAGCAATAATATTCTCTGGGGGGTATTTGTTTAGTTTCCTAAATATTATTATGCCTTAAATCACTGAATTAAGAAAGAACACTTATTTTTTGCAGATTAAAAACATGTTTATAATACTTGCTCAGAATTGTGGCATTCATTTTGTTAATTTCTTTCCTGTACAAATGCATGAAAAATTCAAAGAATGTTCCTAACATCCTGAGTTGCTGCCTATTGTTTTTAATTGATATTATTCTGGATTTGCCTATGCAGAAATTATATTTGACTAGTGAAAAGCAAGAGACAAGGAGAAAACTCATTCACCCTTTTTTTAAAAAAATGCATTTTTCCAATTTCAAATAAGAAATAGTCTATTTACTAAAATATAGAGTGTAGCAAAACTCAGGTCTATACACAGTTCGTTATAAACATTACCTTAAGTGTTTGAAATGGTTCCCATTTTCTTCTACACATTTCCTCATGCTTTTGACACATGACATTTGAACTTTCACAATTGCAGTAATATATTAACTGGGAGAAAAAAATACAGTGTGAATGGCCTATGGGCCTGACTTTTACTCTGCACAAGTAGTCCTTCACTTAGAACCATATGTTTAGTGACTGTTTGAAATTACAACAGCAGTAAAAAAAAGTGACTTACAACTGTTTTTCATGCTTAAGGTAAATTGTAGCATTTCTGTGGTCATGCAATCAAAATTTGGATACTTGGCAACTAGCATGCATTTATGATGGTTGCAGTGTCCCAGGCAGGGGTGAAATCCAGCAGGTTCGTACAGGTTCTGGAGAACCCGTAGCAGAAATTTTGAGCAGTTTGGAGAACCAGCAAATACCACCTATGGCTGGCCCCAGAGTGGGGTGGGAATGGAGATTTTGCAATATCCTTCCCCTGGAGTGGGATGGAAATAGAGATTTTGCAGTTTCCTTCCCCTGCCATGCCCACCAAACCATGCCCACAGAAACGGTAGTAAAAGAATTTGGATTTCACCACTGGTCCCATGGTCATGTGATCAACTTTTACAAGCTCCTGACAAGCAAAGTCAATGGAGAAGCCAGATTTTGTTTAACAAACATGTCACTAATTTGAACATCTATAATGATTCACTTAACAACTGTGGCAAAATTTATTGGTTCGAAAATGGGCAAAATTCACTGATATTCTGTTGATAATGTCATTTTGTCTAGGGAAGAAGCCAGTGGTGAAATGTAAAATTACTACCGGTTCTGTGGGTGTGGCTTAGTAGGGGGGGTGTAATGTGACTGGATGGGCGTGGCCAACTTTTTTTTTCTTTTTTTAAAAGCATTTTTTCTACAACTTCCTCAGCCGAAGAGGTTGTAGAAAAGAATGCTTTTAAAAGCCTCTGACGATCCCAGCTGAGCCGCACAATCATCAGAGGCTTTTTTTTCCTTTTAAAAGTATTTTTTGGGCTGAAGAGGTTGTAGAAAAAATGCTTTTAAAAGAGGGGAAAAAAGTCTTTGATGATCACATGGCTCAGCTGAGCAGGGGGGGCTGGGCGCAGGGATTTTTGCTACTGGTTCTCCAAACCATCCGCTGCCATCGCTACTGGATCGGGTGATCCGGTCCGAACTGGGACCATTTCACCCCTGGAAGAAGCCCATTAAAGTCACTGGTACTTCAGGGTAATAGTGATAGTTCAATTTCTATGGCCTGTATCCCGAGGACTTTATTCTAGCCTCATATAGCATTCTTCTTTATAACATTGAAAAGCTAAGACAAACTTATCATTGATCTTTATTTATTTTCATTTATATGGCTGTCCATCTCAAATTCCTGGCTCTGGGTGGCTAACAACAATTAAAAGCACCTTATTGAAATGAAATGTGATGCATTCCTTCCTTTCATGATGACAACTGAGATCAGAGCAGTGTGCCTCAACTTGTTAAATTTAAGAAGTGTGGACTACAGTTGTCAGAATTCCACAGCCAACATACTGTCTTTTCTGGGGTTCCTGGGAGGTCTTAAAAAACCTGACTTTGGTCCCTGGCAGGTTAATGTTTAATGCATTTAATGCATTTTTAAGGGCTCGGTTGTGATGTGTGTTACCATTAAGATCGTTTTAGTCTGGGCTGTCTATGTGATTTTATGGTTTAATTGTTTTTACGGCTTTGGGATTTTTATGCCACTCAATGTCCATGTGAATTAGGCAATAGGTAGGTAGGTAGGTAGGTAGGTAGATAGATAGGCAATTCAACAGCTATTCTCCAAAGCAGACAGAAAAGCCAAAAGCATGGATCTAACTCTATTTGCAGAATCTTAAATATTTAAAAGAGAAAATTTTGGGTAGCTGAGGTTAGAAGCCGGTGAATGGCATTGAGTTGCTTGTTTTGCTTTATCATTTGCATATTCATTTGTGGAATGAAGAACCTTGAATCCCCAAAGAGAGAAGCTGAGTTGGATTTTATTGACCAAGCAACTCAGCAGCCATCCAACCACTTTAGTAGTTTTCCCCCAGCAATAATAAGGCAAGAAAAGTGGACAGCTGGAACACTCCTGGTTTCCTGTATTGGTAATCCCAGGCAAGAAAGACGAATGGCATCCTGTAAAAAACCCTCATCCTGGCATTTTGGGTGGAGTGGGCAAAAGCAGGCTGCTAGCCTGACACTCCAGCATCAAGTTTGTCTGGATGCTACAGTCCTGAATCACCTGTCATGTTGATCTGATAGGCGTAAATTGAATGAATCAGGTTCATGGAGAAAAGTCACTGAAAAATACTTGCTTCAGAATTAGGTCATGTTTCAACTCAGTGGGGACATAAAAACACATGGGGTGTCCCTGCCCCTAGGAATTTTGGTTTACGCCTTTCTTAATGACTTTGCAGGTCAGTTAGTGGAAAGTTAATTGGGGTGCCACCTTTCTAGACCTTATGATTTTTCTCATTCATTACATTTTAAGCATTCTTTGGGTAAGCATTTTAGTATAGCTATTTGGCAATGTCTTCTTGACTATTCCGAAGTGTAGAGCAGATTTGCCTCATCTAGTTTTGTTTTCTTTTTTTACTTTGCCTAATCTAGTAAGGTTGACTTAGTCTTCCATCCTTCCGAGGTGGGTAAAATGAGGACCCAAAATTGTTGGGGGAAATAGGCTGACTCTGTAAACCGCTTAGAGAAGGCTGGAAAACACTGTGAAGAGGTATATAAATCTAGGTGCGGACTACAGTTGTCAGAATTCCACAGCCAACATATTGTCTTTTCTGGGGTTCCTGGGAGGTCTTAAAACCTGACTTTGGTTCCTGTCAGTTTAATGTTTAATGCATTTAATGCATTTTGGGGGGCTCTGTTGTGATGTTTGTTAGCATTAAGATCGTTTTAGTCTGGGCTGTCTATGTGATTTTAAGGTTCAATTTTGGGATTTTTATGCCACTCAATGTCCATGTGAATTAGGTAGGAGGTAGGTAAGTAGGTAGCTAGGTAAATAGATGCTAGGTGCTATTGCTATCCTGCTGGCTAGAGATTGTAGTCCAACATATCAAGGTGATGCCTAATCAGGGAAGGTGTTGTGTGCAGGTATTTATCAACAAGCATCCTTGCTTTTGTTCAGTGCTTTTGTGTGTATATCATTTAAGGGGTCACAGGTCCTTTTTTTCTAGAATAGGCTCCATCACATCCTCTCTATCTCCTAGCAAACCTTTTTTTCTAGGAAGATAACATTGTACACAATGCATTTAAGGAATGAGGAAAAGAAAATGCTTGGAAAAGATAGTTCTGTGAGTTTTTTTCCTGGTGATAATATTCCAGTCTTTACTTGGTGTCCTTGTGATTCTGGAGCAATGAGGCAAATAACAGAGTACTAAATATAAAATGAACAAACAACTTACTTAGTAAGTATTCCAAAGTAATTCAACAAGCTTTAATCATTATCATAATCTTGCCAGTCTTTTTTGCTATAATTTTAAGCTCTGTAGCTTGGGACACAGAAGCTAGAAATCTGAGAACCTCTACAAAAATGTTTATTGCTTGTTTGCTTGATTTATGGAATTTATAACCTGACCCAATCCCAAAATACTCCACCCCTCAAAATAAGCCACTAAAACTGAACAAAATCCAAACCAAAAATAACCCTAGAAGGCAAAGATAAAACCTCCAATAAAACTCAAAAGAGGTGTCTGTAGTCAGCCAGTTTCCAAAACTCTTTGAAAGAAAATAGTGTTAACCTGCCTATAGAATTGCAGTGAGTACAGGCAGTCCTTATTGAATGACTATTTATTCAGTGGCTGTTTGAAGTTACAACCAGCATTGAATGAGGAGGTCTTGCAATGGATCCTTGTAGTTGTGACTATTACAATATCTTGGGAATTGCATAATCGTGATTTGGGTGTTTGACAACTGGTTGGCATTTACCACATTGTAGTGTCCTATAGTCATATGAACACTATTTGCAACCTTTCCTTCCAGCTCCCAACAAGCAGGCCAATGGGGAAACTGGCAGGAGATTACAAATGACAGTTATGGGGCTATGGGATCCTTAGAATTGCGTTTGTAAGCTAGCACAGTCTCATAACATCATGCTTTATCACTTAACACATCACTTAGAATCGAGTTTCTGGTCCAATTTACATTATTAAGTGATGATTACCTGTAGTTTCTTGGTGGGAGAGTAGAGGTAGTGCTCATTTAGTGATTGCCTCATTTAGTGATCATTTGCAGGTAGAATAATTATGAAAAGTTATTCTTATAAGTTGTCTGAAGCCATTGAGAACTGTGGATCACACTTGTATCAGAACAGAAAGCGATGGGGTTGGATTCTAAGAGCAAGGAACGCAATGGGGTAACCTAAGAAGTCTTGTGTCCCTTCTCCTTCCTGTGCTTTGCGAAACCCCTCCCTCTGATGACAGGTAATTCCTTAGGAATGGAGCAAAAAAGGGGGACCAGGAAACTTGGTTGTTAAGTGAAACGATTGTTAAGTGAAATAGCAATTGCGGTTATAGTCTTACTTCAGCTTTCTTTCGCTGTGAAAGCTGTATGTGTTACCTCTAGATGAGATGGGTGGCACACAAATAAAATAAAATAAAATAATAACAAACAAACAAATAAGAGGATTGGTCACAAAATTTGTTTAAGAAAATCTATATGGTCACCCCAACTCATTCTCTCTTGTGCTAAATGAAGACTAATTCTAAAACACAGTCTCACCCATTTTGGAGCTATTAGAATGATGTCAACTATGCAAAGCTCTCATCTCCAGAGGCTGCAGGTATTCATAATTATCTTGAAATTACAAGAAGGTTTACACAGAGATATTTAAAGACTTCATGGAAGCGTAAACAATGCTATGTTTATCTTTTCTGGTCTGTATGGGTAGAGTTTGGAATTCACTGCAAAGGTGTTCAGAAGGTGATCTGACATGATGGACGGCATGTAGATTGCCTCCTGCGATCCTCCAGTTGCCTAGCCACGGATCACTGATTGGTGAATATTTGTCATCAGAGAAATCCACTGTAACGTACTTATAAAAGGGTAGATTCACACAGTGTGTATACCTTGTTAAACTAGGATAATAATGTTATTTTTTTGGGGGGGGGAATTTCAACATTTTAGGCGTTTGGTAAAGAACAAGACTTCCAAGAACTGGTATTGAGATAACAATTTGGGATTTGATCAGTGCTCGGATCCAGATTTCCTATAAAAACCTGGTGGTTCATAATAGACATTGAACCCAGGGTTGGGTTCTACTTACCTTTACTACCAGTTCGCAGCAGGGCTTGCTTTGCTCGTGCGCACTTCTGTGCATGCACAGAAGCCTCCTGATGACCTCAGGGTCGGTGGGCGGAGCCTCCCACTGGTTTTACTACCGGTTCTATAGAACCGGTCCGAACCAGGGGCAACCCACCACTGATTGAACCTGTAAAAGATTTGCTCTGACCTTCTCTTCAACTTATAATGAATGTAATTTCCTGTTTCCTTTTGTCAGGGTTTTTTTTTCCCTTCCGTAATTGCCCCGCTATTTTATCAGAGTCCCACTTGATCTTTTTCTTCTATTTCAAGTATCGTACCATTTCGTATCATTTTACATTATACTTCTGTCCTGGGAAATCCATTAAGAGGAAAACAAATCCTGCAAACTGCTGCTGAAAGTCCTTTGATTGGTTGAAACTCTGACTAAAGATTATATGTTGGAATTATGACACTGAGGGACTTTTTCTCATTATTGGGGAAATAATTATTGTTCTTGGTGAAAGAGAAAACCTTTCAAAGCCTATATCTCTAGAGTTAAATGCCAACACAGGAGTCCTTTTTTTAAAAACGTAGTCTAGTGAGGCTGAGGTTGGATTTTAAGTAGCTGTAGAGATAACCCTTTTTAAAAAAATATGTGCAACATTAGAAAAAGTATGTTTTAATTTGGACACTAGCAGCCACCTTGATTCTACCTGGGAGTATGCTTACCAGAGGTCCAGTAAAAAGAGGAACATAATCATCCTTTTTCTCTCATGTGTTTTGTTTGGCAGGTACAGCCTTAAAATCAAATATTGTCCAGGTTTTTTTTAGTGTCTTGGGCTTCTTTGAAAAAATTTGGGCTGCTTTCATAATGGTATTTTTTTTTACTGTGATCAATTCAGTATTATTGTTCAAGATGTTCTTGAAAATAAAGATTTATTGGATTTATTGGATTTATTGCAATATTTGGAAAAATATTGCAATTGAAAAACCCGTCTTTCTGATATTGGATAGAATAATTTCATATATCTGTAGGCCGAATTCTTTTTTTTTTTTTTTTTTGCAGTGTTTCACTGTAGTGTTGGTCATGGATGCCAAGAAATTTAAACAATTTGTGTGCCTTCCTTTTTTCCCTATTTGTCCTTTACAATTGTCCTCCTTGTCCAATGGTGAGTTCTACTCATCTTTACTACTGGTTCGCAACGGGGCCGCGTGCATGCTCGCTTCACTCGTGCATGTAGAAGCGTTCTGATGATGTCGGGGTTCATGGGCGGTACCTCCCTCCGGTTTTACTACCGGTTCTATAGAACCGGTCTGAACCGCGGGCAACACACCACTATCCTTGTCCTTTTCAGATATCTGGCAATCCTTTCCGTGACAAGCCAGACTTCATTAGGGCAATGGGTTCATGCATTTAATTTTATCTAGGGTTTGAATCTGCAGTAGGAATTCCACTACGACAGTTGCAGCAAGTTTGAAAGGTGTTTTTAAAAAATGGCACAAAGCAGTGGTATGAAATTCTATTTTTTTTACTACTGGTTCTGTGGGCGTGGCTTGGTGGGTGTGGTGTGGCTTGGTGGGTGTGGCTTGGTGGGCGTGGCAGGGGAAGGATACTGCAAAATCTCCATTCCCACCCCACTCTGGGACCAGCCAGAGATGGTATTTGCCGGTTCTCCAAAGCACTCAAAATTTCCGCTACCGGTTCTCCAGAACCTGTCAGAACCTGCTGGATTTCACCCCTGGCACAAAGTCTATCATTATACAGATAGAGAGCATCCATGTGAAAACCCCAATGGAGGACATTTACTGTAAATATTTGCTGGCTATGGGGAAGATTTTAGGCGGCCTTCAGAAGAAACTAAAAAAAACTATTTTATTCATGTATTTTGTTTCTTGTATATAAAACCAGCAGTAATGTGGGCAGCACGAGACTGAGCCTGAAATGTACAAAAAATTAAGTTGGAATGTTTTCTTCTTTTTCTGGCTTAGGGAAAGAGAAAGTGATACTCCTGAGCTCCTTGCTTGGTTTCAACTTGACACAGTCTGGGTGAGCACACCAAGGGAGTTTGTGAGCAATATCCCCCTTCCCTAAGTTTCTCTGTGGCCACAGAGAGTCTGTCCAGCTCTCTTCCTTCCATTTTTCTGTCCTTGAAATTTTCTGCCTGCTTCTTTGAAGGTGTGAGTTGATCCTCTTCACATTTGGGACAAAGCTGGTTGGCAGCTCTTAGTCACCACAGAAGAGACAGAATTCTTAAGACAGGATTGGCAAATGTGCTTTCCACTGATCCTGTATGAAAGCCTTGGCCCAAAGGCTCCCCGCCAGCAGAAAGATAACAAAACTGCAGCTACGCACGCTACATTGCCTGGCAGCTTCATCAGATCAGATGTCACTTAACCTCAGGAGGAGTTGACCCATATTTTCTGCTCATGTGTCACCGTCCACTTTTTCATCCTTCCCTCCGCAGATACAGATAGTCGAGAATCTGTCAGGTGGGCCAGGTGAGTCAAGGGGAAACCTGCCTGTCAGCTTGAGGAAAAGTAGGTCTACATAGGTTTAGGTATAGGTGGAATAGCAAATAGGAGAGTAATTGCAGAGAAAGATCCTTGATCCTTGATCAGGTCTAAAGGTCTCAAGTAAGTAGATGAATTTGTGCTGGCTGAGCCCTCCTTTCCTCTTGAATTTTCTTTTTCTTTCTCAGATTTCAGTGCCAAATAATTTTAGCACAATGATGCAGTTCTCCAGAAGAGATGTTTTTCTTAGAATTGTCATCTCGGTAAACCATCAAATTCAGTAGCAGTGGATTTTTTTTTTTTTTTTTTAATTTGATTTATATGCCGCCCTTCTCCGAAGACTCAGGGCGGCTTACAATGTGCTCAGCAATAGCCTTCATCCTTTTGTATATTTATACAAAGTCAGCTTATTGCCCCCACAAACTGGGTCCTCATTTCACCTACCTTAGAAAGGATGGAAGGCTGAGTCAACCTTGAGCCTTGGCGAGATTCGAACCCTGCAGTAATTGCAGGCAGCTGGTCTTAAGCAGCTTAATAACAGGGTGCCTTAAACCCCTGTAGTACCAAGGCTCGAAGGATTGGAGAAATCTTTGCTTAATGTGTGCTTTTTAATATAAAATCTGAAAATAAATATATTTTTACAAGCCAGTAGTTATAATTCTTTTTCTTTTTCTAAAAAAAAAAAAAAAGCGAGCGAGAGAGAGAGACAGGAGCATTGTCTACAAATAAAGCCTCAGGGGATTTCCAATGATCTAATTATCTAAAATAATGCAATCCTTGTTTTTCCAGGTTTTTAAGGGAGCCCTCTTGTGAATAGGAAGGTTTCTTCTTCTGATTGAGCACTGGGAAGTGATTTTAGTTGACATGTCAGTTTTGGATTCCTGTAAGTTCCCTTCCTTTCCCCAGCTTCGTACTGGAACTATGTCAAAAATCTGCACAGAAAAAAAAAAGTAAATTAGAAACAATGTAATGGGAAAGTTAACTCTATGATATCATTGTACAGTAATGTAGAAAAATTTTGGAACTTTCCTATGGTAATGAAGCATATCATCTCTAACACTCGTATCCTACAGTCTCTGCTGTTTTATGCAGAATTTCCAGTTTTCCCCATGGAGAAAGTTCCTGCACTAAATTACTGGAAAAAAGCAGGGAAGCTAGAATTTTTCTTTCCTTCCTAGGTTATTTCTCAGAATTGCTGGGTCTATTTTTTTTCAGATTAGTAAAGTGTTGATCCATTGGTTGTGACGGAATTTGATTTACCCAGGCCTACTGTACAGGCTGAGAAAGTTACTCATCCAGTTTCTATGCTTAAGGTGGATTCAAACTTACAGTCTCCTGATTTCTAGTTGGTGCCTTAATGTTTTTCCTGCAATTGTAGGTTCCACTTTTTTTTTTTTTTTTATCAGCCCAGAGGGTTAATCTGTTGCAGTGTTTCTCAACCTTGGCCGCTGGACGATGTGTGGACTTCCAACTCCCAGAATTCCCCAGCCAGCAGAGCTCTGCTGGCTGGGGAATTCTGGGAGTTGAAGTCCACACATCGTCCAGCGGCCAAGGTTGAGAAACACTGATCTATTGGTTGCAACAGGCACATTTCAGTCCATGAGTAAAAGAAGTCCTGGGATTTCTTTGGGACTACTTGGATCATAAGCAGATATGGGTCCAATCAGCCTTGGCGGCTATCGGTGGATGAAGTTCAAGCATGAGAAATAAACGTGGTAGGGAGAAGACCAAAGCAAAATCTCCCCAGGTTGGTGCTGCTCATTTTGTAGAAGCAGCAAGATAGTTTAACTCAGAGAATTGCAGAATTAAATTTTCTGCCACCTCAGATGTCTGACTTCCTCCCCTTCCTTCCTCCCCATACCCCGCCCTTGTTTAGTAGTTGATAGTTCGATCATTCAGAATGGTGACCTTCTGCATGCAAAGAACTGTTGAAAAGATGGGTTTTAAGTAGTACTACCAGAAAACCTTAAAGACTACATTCAGTCTACTTGGGCGACAGGAGTTGACAGCCACTTGATGTCTCATAATCAATTCAAATAGTCACCATTCTCCATCATATTGGAGAGCATCACTGGCCTTCCATTCCAAGGATAAGAATCATAGTTGTACAATGTTTGCTGAATATGTAATTCCCAACAGTTCCGGTCAGAATTGCCTAGGTCATAGACGCTGGGAAATATAGTTCAGTATTAACAAAACAGCCACTGTTCCCTACCTTTGCATTAGATTTCAGTGAGTACGTTCTGCTTTAGCAGGGTTGATAATATTAACTCTTAAATGTATTTTTGATTATCTGCTGGAAAAGGACACAAGACATGTTGAACTCCTTTCAAAACCAATGGTTGCCTAATGTACAGTTGACTTGGAGATTCCCTTGAATTCAGAGGTACTTAAGCATATGCAACTCTGGATCAGGCCCACTGCCAACACACATTGCTCTAAGTCAGACCCTGTTCACCCATTGATCTTCAGCAATCTTTTGCTCTCACTTTGGCTCTACTAGTCTTCAGCCATATTTGACCTTGGTAATCAGGAATAATAGTTAACATTTAGCACATCTGGAGGAGGAAGAGCTAATATCAATGCTTTCAGAAGAGCTAATATTGATGCTTATTTGACATGTCTCTGCTTAGAGTGAACTTTCTCCAATTATACAGAGTAGAATTAGGACTTAAAATCTGCTGGTTTGTATTTTATGATTAGGTAGACTGCACAGTTCTGCTTTTTCTCCTTCTTAAATGTAGAGATGTGTAAATTGCCCTTACATATTTCTGTTGTAGTATTTCCTCTGTTGCAATTTCTTAACCAACCATAAAATATTACTCCTTTTTCTTTTAGGTAGAATAAGAGGAAGAGAACATACAGTAATGGAGTATATGAGTACTGGTAGTGAAAATAAGGAAGAATTTGACTTACTGCTGACAGATTTAAATATGTCCGAAGTAATTGACATCATGGAGAACCTTTATCCCGAAGGTGACCTGACAATTTACAAAGACAGCCTCATTGCTCTGCACCCAGAAAAGAACAAAAATGAGGAACGGACTGAATCTTTGCTGTTCAGCCGAAGAGAAGTTTCTTTGCTTTCGTGTGTCAAGTATGGGAGTGTGGAAGACCTGCTTGCATTTGCCAATCAGGTGTCAAACACCGCAAAGCAGTTGTGCCAGCAGAGACGACAAGAATCTGGAATCATATTAAACATGGTGTGTGTTTTTTAAAACCTCCACCAGCTATTCTGCATGCATGTATTTCATATGGAACTTGGCTCAAAGCTGTGGGTTTTGTGGCTGGATTTTGGAGTTTTCACAATTTAGGTCTGGCTGATAAGAATTTGCTGACCAGCCATTACTGTCCACAGACATTCCTATACTCTTATCACGCTGTATAATATCTAAATATGGGAGTTAGATATTATTTAGTTCCAAAGTGGTGAGATGGTGAAGGTATTGAAGTACTGCACCTTACTTGAGTGACCTTGGACCTCTTACACTTTTTCTCATTTCCTTGTGAGGCCCAGAGTTACCGGAAAAACCCTGAAAAGAAAGGGGAAATACCACTTGAAGCTCCAGGAGAAAATTACATAGTACAGGAAAATGAATCTTAGTCTGAGCTGTTGTTTCTGCAAGCAGAGTCTTTAGCTTGGATTTAAGTTTCTGTTTGCAACTATAATGAACAAATCTCGGAGTGCAATACTGTTATTAGCAGCTAGCTGAGCTTGGCTTCTTTCAAATAGCTAAGCAGGATTGGACTTGATTAATACTTGGGAGGTCATGAGGGAATCCCAGGTTGTAGGTCATGCTGAGCAATCAAGAGGAGGCATTGAGCTTGTTGAGTGAGACCTTATTGTATAAATTGATTCACTTTCTTTAAAAGAGAGTTGTAGTTATGAACATAAAACTAAAACAGATAGTTTGCGCTTTTCTAGGATGCATGCATTTATCACCCTGTGACACCTTATATGAAATTACATTGGAGCTGCCTTCCAATTAATCTGCCTGTCTCTTTCTGTCTGTCTATATCTGTCTCTGTCTCTACTTCCAATCCATCCATCCATCCATCCATCCATCCATCCATCTTATATAGCCACCCACCTCACTAAAGCCAACTTTTGTGCATTCCCCAACTTTAAATCTCAGCCATGATGCAATTAAAAATCTCATGTAAAAATACAGACTGAGACAAAAATCTAAAGTCTGAGTATTAAATGTGTTAATTAATATACTGCCCATCTCACCAATAAGATGACTGTAGACATACGAAATGGTAAAAAGATAAATATTTGAAAACAGTTCAAATTATTAAAATTATGCAGTTATCAACCATGTCTCCATGGAGAGCATATTTGTCAGCCCTTATTTATGGTGGTTGTATCAATCCTTGCTCAGAGTTACTATTTGCGACTATGAGAACTAGAAAATTTGATATTTCTTGACAAAACGCAAATTAAATATGAAGTTTCCATAACAGGTTGAAATTAAGGCCAGGAAAAGAGGATCTTCAACCTTCTTGTCACTTCTCACGAAGAGAGTTTGCCCTTTGATTTCTGTCAGTTTTTTTTTTTTTAGATGAGAAAAAGTGAGGCTAGGTAATAAACCAGTGCTTATAGTAGACTTAGCTTAAAATCAAATGGCAGGCAATAGTTGTAAGAAACCATTGGATGGATCTAATCAGCTTTTTAGTTTTGTTTTTCATATGTTCAGGTCTTTTCACAAGGTTTTCCAATCAGATAGCATACCATATGATGTCTTGCCAGCTCATTCTCCATTCGGTTTTTCAACTTCAGCTTTGCTTGTGTGCCAATTCAATCATGGCCTCAAACACAATTAAACTTCCATAGTACAGATTAATCTCTGTAGAGGCAGTTGAAATCCCACTATTTTAGAGCAGATGAAGCTAGGCTTAAATATAGTAATCTACTTGCTATACTTGAACTCACCCCAGATATTTTGATAGTTTTCTCTTGATTAATTTTCCTTTGGAGAACTTTACCTTGTTAAAAAACAATCCTTGTACTTTCAAAGAACCATTCATTCTTTCCAGTATACAAATAATTAGATTTCAAATTTCTTCTGCATCATCTGTTCTGAGAAAAAATTAGTTTATACACTTCTCTGCCAACCTCCTAAATACAACCTTTGAAGATACAATACCTTGTATTTGCTCTCAGAGACAAACTCACAATTCTGTAGAGCAAAAGGTTAGAAGATAGCCAGAATTACCCAATAAACTACTAAAAGGACACCTTATGTAAGCCTGCTGATTAGGATGTCAATCAAGCTGTTGTTGCCAGACAATTAAGTGCAACTTATGCTTTATGCAAGGCTAATCACCACTTGGAATTATAAATATTTTCAAGATGAATTGAGTACTTCACATGCTGTTCCCATTTTAATGTTCTATATAAAGACTACTATGGTCATGGAACTGCTATGTTCTGAAAAGTAGAACATCAGCAATGTTCTGTTAGAAAAGAGCTGTAGCTTAGAGCTGCTGTCACCTTATAGGTATTGCTTGTGAAGACCTATGTTCTGTCCTAGATACAGATATCCACATATCCATGTATTTTTCCTGGCAGCGTTTCATATGTAATTCACTCCTGGCTCATTTTGGTATTCCTTTATCTCCTCTTCTATAGTATGTATCTATCAGCCATAGGTGTCCCAATGGTCTCTTAACTAGACACACTCCAGAGCTGATCTTGCTTAGCTTCTGAAATCAGCCAAGGTAAATTAACTGCTGTTACCTACTAAGACTCTGTAAAGGTATGTGACAAAGACCTTGGAAGACTGGACAAAAAGTCACTTCCAAAGATACAGTTAGATAAGACACAGCATAACCTGTAATTGGATAATTGGCTGGGTGAGAGACATCCATAGTTTCTTGGATGCTAAAGGAGGTGGGAAAGGATTGTACTTTCAGACTTACAAGATTCTGTCCATGCAGCTTCACAACAAAGTAGAATTAGCTCATCAGGTCACGACTCTTACCTGGTTTGCCCCAGAGGCAGGTTTCAAAACTGGTTGCTACCGGTTCGCTCATGGGCACATGGGCACTTGCGCACACGCACAATGCTTCTCTGTTTGTGCAGAAGCATCCAGGGGTGGACGGAGCTTCCCACCACCGCCACTACCAGTTCACCAGATCTGGGGCGAACCGGTAGCAACCCACTACTGGTTTGCCCTCTGTGGACAATATCCTGCATGTCTGAATCTCAGATGTCCATTCCCTTGGCAGCATCTTCCCAGGTCTTTCCCACATACCAGTTTACAGACTCTAGGCCCTAGTAAGAAAGATCTTGGGGAAAATGTAAGACCTCAGAAAAGGCATTGCAAGGTAATGGTAGATGGTTGGTGCATATAGATTAATTCAGGTATGTGTATTCCAGTAAACTCATCTGTATTTCAGAATAAAAAGGTTGTGAAAGAGTATTGTGTTTTGATTTTTCCTTTATCTCAAATATCTTTAAATAGATCAAACCCAAAAATGGGCGCTATAAGATTGACTCAGACGTGCTTCTATTTCCTTGGAAGCTAACATACAGAAATATTGGGACTGACTTCATTCCAAGGGGAGCTTTTGGGAAAGTATACTTGGCACAAGATACAGAAACCAAAAAGCGGATGGCTTGCAAGCTGGTAAGGATTTCTTAATTATCTTTGGCAATGCCTGTGACACGTTAGGCCTTCTCTATAATGCTGAAATAAACGAGACTTATTTGTTCCTTTATGATAGAAACCAGCATTTTGTAAATGAACTTACTCCAACATGCATATGGTAGACTCAAGTTTTGAAACTTGGTCTAAGTAAGACATACCCAGTTCTCTTCTTCTTTGGAAGAGATTCAATACATACTTCATCAACGAATGCTGAAGTGTCACATATGTGAGATGGGTGGCTGTATACATTTAATAAATAACTAAATGTAATTATGGTTAACAACCATCTGGAGGTGGATAACTATGCTGAAACTAATTAAGTCTGGTCAGGATAAGATAGAACATCACTTGAATAGTCTTGGTTTGCCAATGAGAGATCCACGGAGAAAAGATAGAATGCCACTAGAAGAATGAATCAACCAAAGCTTAATACCCTTTGGGTTGGGATGGGATGTTATAAGCATTCTATCATAAAAAAAAAAAAGATAGGAAGCTTCTGCCCATTTATACTGATGTTGACATGCTTTTATGATTTAAAAGAACATACTAGCGTTTTACAGTAGAAACATATGGAAGGATTTTTATTTCTAATACTTTGCCTGAATTGCTGTATTAAAGCAGTAATTTCTATCAATAGACCACAATCCTGCTGTCATAGATACTCCATCATTCTCTGGCAAAGTTCTTAAGACGATGAGTAACAATCAAAGAAAGATGGGCTTTCTCTGTCCATTATTAAAAAAGAACAAAGGGAAATCCCTCCTCCCCATTCTAGCTAAATTTGCTGAATTGGTTTGGGGTCAGTTTGCCTCCCCAGCATGAAAAGAAGCCCTAGCTTTTCCTTGGGACTCCAGAGAGGAAGGTTGTGGTTGAATGGTTTTCTGGATCTACTTTCTTGTTCATTTGTTTGTTTTTCAATTTAATAATCTTAATTTTCCAGATTATTATGTGAACACAGGGTAGTACTTCACAATATAGACCATCAAATTAAGCTTTTGCAGGCATTCTACCAGAACTATCTTTGCTTGGATGGTATAATTTAATCAGTTTATATTTGGCATCATAGGTTCCCGTGGAACAGTTCAAGCCATCAGATGTTGAAATCCAAGCCTGCTTTCGCCATGAAAATATTGCTGAACTTTATGGAGCCATCTTATGGGATGAGACAATCCATCTCTTTATGGAGGCAGGAGAAGGAGGCTCTGTCCTAGAAAAGATAGAAAGTTGTGGGCCTTTGAGAGAATTTGAAGTCATCTGGCTGGCCAAACATATTCTCAAAGGACTTGAGTTTCTTCACTCAAAGGGAGTTATTCATCAGGATATCAAACGTAAGTTTGATTGTGCAATATAAACTATATTCAGGATAACCCCAGCTTCTTTTAAGGTTATTTGGAGATTTTTACTTACTGAAAATCACTTGAATTTCTGCACCTTAGAGACATGGTATATCCAACTTAACTTTTATTAATACATTCATCTGCAGTGGGTAGATAATAAAGTTGAGAATGTTTTAAGGACAATATGTTATGTGGAAATGGAATGAATTAAATGCTAAATGGGCTCCATGCATTGCAATCTTAACTATGACTGCTCTGAAGCAAGTCCCATTAAATTCAGGAATCTTGTTCATATAAGTAAACATAGGAAAGTTGGGATGACTGTAGCTCTTATTGGACTTAGTCAACGGTCAGAAGTTTGCAAGCCTATTGTAAGTTTGGAAGTCTGCAAGTTTCCACTGGTATATATTAACGAACCTTATGACTCCCCCCCCATTTATGTTGTAACCCCTTGAAAAGAATAGAGTGATGCAATCAGGATTAAACATTCTGAGAACGGAGACATATATTTTCTGGTTTAATTAGACAAATTCTGGAGTCATGCATACCATTAAGTCATGACTTGCCCAGCCAGTTATTTAATTAACTATGATATTTTTACACCTGACAAACAAACCTTACAAACATGATTGGCTAGTTTTACGCAGAATACTAGGCCAAAATCAAATAAACCACACTATGGCATAGCATAAAGTGTGCAGTGGAAGTTTTGTATTCACGAATGACAGATTGTAAAAGCAGGAACATTGAAGTTGGAACTGCTCAGTCCTTTCTCTCTCTCTCATCTGCAAGAATTACTTTCTTTGTCCTTTGGACCTCCTGGTTAAATGTATAAACATCTAGCATTCCTGGAGGGCATTGAATTGCTCTGGATCGTTAGGTTTGGTCTCTGTTCAAAATTCAGTAATATTTGGCATGGGGGTGGAAGGTAGCATCTGTCATTGTAGTGTTCATTATCCTAAATTATTTCCATTTCCTGAAATTTATCCCAAAGTTCTCCTCTAGAGTACAGGTTTCCTTGACTTGTTACTGTAATAGAGCCTGGAATTAGGGTCATAAGTCAATGTAGTTGTAAACTAAGGCATCACATGCTCAGAATCTTGTTAAGCAAATGCTTTAAGTTAATCCATTTTCCCCAATTGCTGTTGCTGGAACCTGGAAGTTCCAGGTAGCATAAAACCGGCAAAAAAGATTGCAGATTGCGGTCACATGATGACTGGATGTGCAAATTGCCACAAATGCAGACTGGGGTGATCATGGGGTGGATGTGCAGTGATCATAACTTTGAAAATAGGTAATTAAGTGATCGGTCTTTTTTAATATTTTTTTTTTATTATAAATAGAAAGATCAACATATTCAATATCCATATAGACAGTTTGTTTTCTGGTTACAATTCCTTTAAATAGTACTCCACATCATGACAGTGATGATATTCTCTAGCAATAATCTTATGGTAACAGTGCTTTTCCTTCATAATACTAATACATATTAATTATTCATACTAATTAGAATTAATAATAGCTTACAGTAATCAACCGTAATGATAAAATTAATCTTTCTCTTATAGTTTTAAAAGTTCTAACTTCTGTTTCTCTTATTTAACCATCGATAGAACAAGTCCCATATCTCAGACTATTCAGGGTCTTCCTTTTCTTTAATTTCAAGAGTTAGTCTACTTATTTCTGCACATTCTAAGATTTTTTTTATTATCTTCTCTTCTGTAGGGATCTCCTCGCCCTTCCAATGTTGTGCAAACAGAATTTTGACCACTGTTAACACATGTACTATTAAATACACATTCCTTTTACAATATTTTTCAGGTATAATACCCAACAGAAATATTTCCAGTTTTAGATCTATATGTTCCTTTGTCATTTTTTCTATCCCGATATGTATTTTTGTCCAATATTTTTTGCTTTTGGTTCGTCCACCACATTTAGTAGTACGAACCCGGGATCTGATTGCACTTCCAACACTTGGACATATCTTTAAACATCATGGCTAATCTTGCTGGAGGGAAGTGCCATCTATAAAACATTTTATATAAATTTTCTTTATATGCAGTGGACATTCTTAATTTATAGTTTCTATCCCACAGTTTTTACCATTTATCCAATTCTATAGAGTGCCCAAAGTTTTATGCCCACGCTGTCATGGTTTCCTTTACTTGCTCTTCTTCCATTCTAATACTCAATAAATTATAGAATTTTTTAATTAGATTCTCCTCCGGTCCTATTAAAATTTGATCCAGTGCTGTTGGTTCTTTATAAAAACCATATATTTTAACGTCTTTTTGATATCTAGATTGTATTTGTACATAGGGCCACCATGTTAAGTCTCTCCCTTGTCTATTCAGTTCAATTCAATTTGTTTTTCAGCTCCCCTTTCTCATTCAAAATGTCTTTACATCTTACAATTTTTCCCATAGCCATCACATTTGGGTATGTCAATGCCTCCATTGTAGAAAAGTGATCGGTCTTAAATTGAGGATTATCTATACTTAAAAGGGCATTTCCAGGCCCAGGAAAATGAAAAGTTCTATGAAGAAAATTTATTGCTTTTTCTGCCTCCCTGTCCCGTCGGAGGGTCCTCTCTCTTTAAAGCTATGCTGACATTTGAAAATCCAGTGGATGATGTTTAAGTTGGCATGGAAATGCATCAGGAAATGTTCCAGCGAAGAAAAATGTGGTAGAAATCCTAGCAATTGAAAGCATTTCACATCTAGCATTTATGAAGTGCTTTAGAGCAAAAAAAAGTCAATTCATATTCCTGCAGACCTCCATAACTTTATTTTCCTTCTATAGTCAAAGATGAACACTCCAGGAAAAATTTCCTTTTCCTCTTGTGTGCCTTCCCCAGTAATCTGCAGGACAGCTTTGTATTGCAGTTCTCTTAGATCTGCACATCTCCACTTGACTGCCCAGCCAGGATTAAGTTTAATTTAGCATAGCTCCTCTCCCTTTTCCCTTCTGAAGAGAGCATGGTAAACTCTGGAATGACAGTTGTTGCTGATGTAAATATAGCGCTATCCCCAAAAGGACCACTGGAGTCTGGATCCCTCTGTCCCTTTCCCAAGAGAACTAGAGCCTCCCTGCTCTCAGTTGCTGGTCTGATGTCTCAAGGTCTTTTGCTCTGTTCCTCATCCTGGCCTTCAACCCGTTCTGGTCGCTCACCCAGGCAGTTCCACTCGCCCAGCTCAGTTCACCTCCGTCATCCTCCAGTGCATCTGGCGCCCTCTCTTATCACTGACTTCAGAAGTGGTATTCATCAGGTTCTGACCAGTTCTGAAGAACCGGTAGCAAAAATTTTGAGTAGTTTGAACAACCGATAAATAACACCTCTGACTGGCCCCACTCCCATCTATTCTCTGCTTCCCAAGTCCCAGCTGATCGGGAAGAAATGGAGATTTTACAGTATCCTTCCCCTGAATGGGGTGGGAATGGAGATTTTACAGTATCCTTCCCCTGCTACGCCCACCAAACCACACCCACCAAGCTCTGCCATGCCATGCCATGCCATGCCACGCCTACCAAGCCACGCCCACAGAACCGTAGTAAAAAATTTAAATCCCACCATTGACTGACTTGCCCATTCACCTGGATCAACTTGTCTTCCCTGTCTTCTGGTGCATCTGGCTCACTCACTCATCTGCATCAGCTTTCTTCTCTATTTGGTATGTCTAGCGCTCTTTCTGATCACTGACTCACCCACTTGCCTAGATCAGTTCTCCTCCTGGTATGTCTGGTGCCCCTGTTGGCCACTGGTTTGGCAACTTGCCAGGCAGCTTCTCTCTCTCTCTCTCTGTGTGTCTCTCTCACTCTCGCTCTCTTTTGCCTTTATCGTCTCCTCACCATGCAGCCTCACCAAGCAGGGACCATGTAGTGAGGTAGTGGCAGAGTGGGCCAATAAGCTCCTCTTCCCATATTTCTCTTCTTCCTATGTTTACTTTGCCTCCGCTTGCCTCCGTTTCCCTCCTGCCATTTCTCTGCTTGTCTCTCTCTCTGTCTACTTTTCTTTTCTACCTCACTTTTCCTTTATTTCCCCTTTGTGCCACACACCTCTTCCTTTTATATCCTCCCTCAGCCATTCCTTTCCCCCCTAATTTCTGGCAGGTCATCTGCCCAGTATTTATCCGCTGCATGAGTATCACTCCCTGTAATTATCCTGAGTCCTGTCACACTGTGCTGTGGTCCCGGGACATCTCCAGCTGGCCAGTCCAGGTGCCCATGGCGATCGGGGCTGCCAATTAGCTCCTGCCCCTCCCTTGCCCCCGATTGGACCCAACTGAGATCCCTGTGGAAGTGGGATCAGGGCAAACAGACCCTGGGACACCCCCAGCCAAGCCACTTAGCTGATCGGCACTGCGCCCCGCAGTCGGCCCTCCCCATTACACATACTCCCTGCTACACAAAGAAAGGAAGAAGATTCCTAAGCAACTGAGCTGCTTCTAACACAGCTTCCTTTGGGACTCTACTCTATTTATTTTTTTACTTTGTTCAACATGAGTTAGGAAAGAATGGGGCATAAGAGAAAGACACAGGAAGGAACTGTCAGGCCTGCCCCTTTCTTGTTATAACTCTACAAATGACAAGTTTTTTTTTATTTCCTGGCTGATGACAAGCAAAATAGGGCAGTAAAACTGAAGGCTTGATTATCACACTCTATCATCCGAAACTAGGACAGTAGCATGTAGCAGTGACTTATAATAAATGCATTACTGAAGAGGCAGGATAGAGTTTGGCAATGTGGGTAGAGAATTGCTCAACAATAGGGTTTTCTACCAAATGAAGGCTGAGTAAATAGCACTTGAATTCAGCCATAAGGAAAGACCTTTCGAAGTTATAATATTCACCATCCTTCTGAGCAAAGTTCTGCTCCTTGCTACTTTAAGTCTGCTTCATTCCAAAAGCATATTTTTGGCCAGCCAGTTTCCCCCAATTTAGTACCTTCTAGATTTGTCAGTGTAATTGTAGCCCTAAATACATCTGAAGGACTGATGGCTGTGATAGCAATGAAATGCTGCTATTCAGAAAGCAGGAATCAGAGGTCTGAGCTGCAGACTGCACAAAATATGTCATGCACTTTTGCTTATGTTATCTCATAATATTTCATAGTCTTGCAGTAAGACAGGACCGGGGTGAAATGCTACCAGTTTTAGACCATCGCCAGTAGCGATGGCGGTGGGTGGTTCGGAGGACCGGTAGCGACAGCAGTACAAGGCTCCACCCACCTGCCTGGTCGTCGTTACTTCCTGGTTTTAACCAGGAAGTAACCTCTCTGCTCGTGCGTGTATTTCTGAACTGGTAGGGAAGATAAGTAAATTTCACCCCTGGACAGGACTTAGTTTTGTACAACAAGGAGGGGATTGCTAAAGACCTATTTTGGTATTTGAACCAGAGAGACCTAAGTATTCCAATCATGATGAGGAAGATACAAGATTTTGATCACTGAATAATTTCTTCTCCTTTTTGACTAAGAAAGCTGTGCCAAATTAAGTGAGAGTTAAGCTTGATTTAGCTTGTCCAAAATGATATAGGCGTTGACACATATATACACAGTGAAGGAGTTGAGAGGAAGAGTAGTTTCAAATGTTTGCAGACAGGCCAAATCTCCATGCAGACCTCCTAAATCTCAGTTATATATTATATGGAGATATGTGTCCTGCATGGGTGATTGGTTGATCCAACCATGGTTGATCCTTTGTTGTTTGAGTGTCCCTCAGCCAGAATGTTAGCATTCACAGAAATGTAAATGCAACAACTATTCAACTTTCTAAATTACAGAGGCGTATGTTACCTGACATGCAGATGTTGGAGAAATCCAATAGCAATATTACTTAGATTTATATTCTGCTTCACAGGGCTTTATAGCCTTCTCTAAGTGGTTTGCAGAGTCAGTATATTGCCCCAACAATCTGATGCAGCCTTTAGTCTCTTGCCTGCCACTTTCATGTTTAAATTGATCTCTCCAATGTTTATTTGAAGAGAGAATGGGGGGGGGGGAGTTATCATATTTCTCTTTCTTCCTTTTTCTCATCAACATATAAAGTTTTCCCATCATTGCTGTCACTTGGGTTACTTTGAAACTTAGATCATTTCAAAGACATCTGCGGAGTCATGGTTTTATCCATATGAAATGCTATGATTATCTAAAAAAATATATAGAAATTTCAGATCTCAGAATTTTAATTTGCTTTAGGACTACAATCTCCACAAACTCTGGAATGGAGTGTGGATTGTGTGGCTCAAATTGCTACTGGAGGTCCACCAAAGAGTATCTCATACCTTGGGTCTGGAAGCTCAGGAAGTTTCTTAACTTGGAATTGTGAGCTTCTTGAAAACCCATAATTAGGTTCTCAAAGGAACAATGATATAAGGGGAAGATGAGATCAAGATCAGAAGCCCATCTCTACAGAGATATCTCTGCTATCTCTTCTGTCCCTTCTGATGTATCTTGAGACCCAAACTATATGGATATGCAGTTCAACATCTGAGTCAAATAATCCATCTATAGATTTGTTCAAGTGCAGGAAGTGGGACAAAGCAGCTATAATGGCTTTTCCCCATCCAATTAGAATCACTGGTAGAAGAAGTCCCAAGTGTATTTTTGCTTGGTGTGTGCCTGTTTAATAATCGCTTTCCTTTTAATTCCTGCCTGTAAGATATTTTCTGTGTTAAACTAAACATGAAAACTAATCCTCATTTGTTCCTTTAATTTCTAGCAAGCAACATTGTTTTCATGTCCACCAAAGCTGTTTTAGTGGATTTTGGACTTAGCGTTCAAATGACAGAAGATGTTTATTATCCCAAAGAACTTCGAGGAACAGAGGTAATGATTCTCCATGGGAAGATAGCCCCATACTGTATGTAACATAGTAGTTAAGAATGTCTGCCATGGACTTACTGTTCTTCTCTGTCCCCTTTTCCAATTAATTATGCATTAGTAAAACAACCATCAAGGTATGGTTAAACAGCTTTGACATGTCATTTAGAACTTATCAAGATTAATATTGGCTAAACATTCCTATGAGATAGAATTGCACTAGAATCCTTTTGTCTAATGATAAGGGGAAACAGGTGAAACACTACTGAAGAGTGTTTCAGATCTAGACAAGTTCAAACAGAAGCAAGCCTCCATATAAATCTTAAATGGGATAGCCTATTATGATTTCATGATCTTTGTTAGTTGTTCATTCATCACTGCATCAAAATGGGCAGCCAAAATTGGCACCCAATCTCCTGTTTCTTTGAGCAAAAGCTCAAATTTTGCATGGCCTTTAAATGAGATCAGCGAAAAATGCAATAATAATAATAATAATAATATTTTTTAAAAAAACCTTCTGTGCCAAATTGCTTGGCTATAAAGATGATTCCAGAGTAAAGCTAATTTTCTTCTGGATTTTATTTGCAGATTTACATGAGTCCAGAAGTGATTCTTTGCCGAGGCCATAGTACAAAAGCTGACATCTACAGCCTAGGAGCAACCATCATCCACATGCAAACTGGCATTCCACCATGGGTCAGTCGGTATCCTCGTGCAGCCTATCCCTCCTATCTCTACATAGTAAGTTTATTTAATTGGCTGTTCAATAGGTATTCAGCTGCCAGTTGACAACCTCTTTCTGTAGACTTTATAGTAGTGCAGTGATTAGAACAGTGTTTTTCAACTTTGACAATTTTAAGATACATTGACTTCAACTCCCAGAATTCCCCAGCTGGGGAATTCTGGGAGTTGAAGTCCACCGATCTTAAACTTAGCAAGGTTGAAAAATACTGGGTAGATAATTGGGTAAAACCTCTTGGTTTTGTAAAGGTGATGAGGTTTTTAGAAATGGAACTGTGTTTGATTTGCTCTTGGTGTCATTCAGGGTCTGTTTAGCAACAGAACTGGAAGAAAATCATAGTTGAAAATCTAGGGTATATGTGGGGAATAGACTTTCTTTTCCAGCATTGCAGTTTCACATTCATTAATCCTAACCCTAATCCCAAACAAAAAAAAATCAGGCAAAATGAGTTGGCAACTACATTACTTGTGGTTTATTATAAACTTATTATCTCTGAATGGGCTTAGACAATAAGATGTGATACATAACATACAATAATCATCATATTATCAATATTTTTAAGTATACCAAATAGTAACTGCAGTTAATCTAAATCATATGCCAATCATTAAATATAGTGTCTTATAATATAAAACAACAGATAAGTTCACGCCAAGCTCTTGGGTACAGGTGATCCTCAACTTTTGACTGGTTATTTAGCAACAGTTCAAAATTAAAATAGACCTGACCAGGGCTACTCATCACCTATAGTCACATGATCATTTTTTGGGTGCTCAGCGATCAGCCCACATTTATGACCATTTAAAGCATTCTGTGGTTCTGTGACTGTGTTGCTGGTTTCCAGCAAAAAAATACCTATTTGGGATAATGGATTTGCCTAATAACCATCATATTCATGTTATAGCCATTGCAAGAAATTGGGTGCAGTGATCTGTTTAAAAACTGGAACAACTTACAAATATAATTCTGGATTCAATCACAGTCATAAGTCAAGATCTATTTGTATCTCACATTCTCACCTCAGTCCACAACGACACATTGGAGAAGCCATGCTTTTGCTTCTGTGTACCACATATGCACCCAGTCCTACAGTAGATGCTGGGTGCATATGTGGTGCACATATGATTAACCATATTGGAAATTGTAAACAAGAAAGTGAAACTTTGAAGACCAGGTCAGGATACTTAAATTTTCTGTGTTTTGCATCCCTGAGCCAAGGAGTTTGCCATCCTGAACTTGTTAAGTGGACCAGACAGAAATTCACCCTAAAACCTTCTGTATTTAATATAGGAGTTTTGTTTCAGAGAAATGTAACATTTCAATTTGGGTCACATAATGAATCTGGCAAGGACTGGAACAAAAACACAAACTGCTACAAAAGGAAGGCATTAGTTAGTTCTCACAGAATACTTTGCCTGAGGCTTGGAATCCTAAGTACCCATCCTGTTTCTTTAAACAAGAATTGTAATCAGTGCGTCTACATTCAGTATATTCGTGCTTATCATCTTCTATTCCCATAGGTATCTAAAGAATGCTGCTCTTGGCGAGATGTGTTTTTATGTATGTGTGTGTGTGCGCGTGCACGTTTGGGTGTGGTGAAAAGGATTGTTGCTTTGGATTTCTGGAAATATGCAAGGAGTCAAATCTGAAGGCTTCCAAAATTCCTTCCAAATGTGTGATTACTTGCTTGCCCAACCCTGAACAATTGGGGAAGAGACAACTTCAGTGGTCAAGTAACACAGGAAAAAGGATTAAGCAGATGCCTTTCAGTAGCACCAGTACAATCTAAATTTCTGTGTGGAGCCTTCCCCAACTGGTTGATTGGGAACTCCCAAGTTTCCATTGTATTAGAGATAAGCATAGCTATTCTACTGTAGGCAGTCCAGACAATTGAGATGGTGATGCCATAATTATGTACCAAGCAGTACAGAGTTAATACTCTTATTCATGGAAAACTAAAGTCAGAGGGGAGGTTTTTGGTATTTGGGATAGGGAAAAATAGAGCCTGACTACTGAAATATAGTGAAAACAAAACATTGTGGATATGCATCTATGAAGTAAGCTGATACGCTGCTGGCTAACTTTTAGGCCTTTTGCATTGCCTTTGTAACTTCGTAAATCTCCACAAGATTGTGGATAGGGGAACAATTTGGAGAATGAAGATGTTTTGTTGTTCTGAGTGGGAGGGAGATAAAAACTGCAAGCTGAGAAATTTGCAAGCGAAAAATAATTTTTAAAAAGGCAGCTCCTAGTAATTCAGCTTACTTGTTTTTACAGAACCTAAACTGGACCAGCCAATGATTCAGCTTACTTACTATAAAATTCATCAGTACTGTTTTAAATTGGCCCAAAGCTCAATTGATTAAAATTAGGCAGTATTTTTCTGGATAATTTCTTCTTTATCAGACCAGAAATAGAATATTAAAAATATATTCAATATTCCTAGATAGACTCCTTTCGTACATATAAACCCTGCCTCACTTTGAAACCAATTTAAGTATTTCCATAAGCAAAGCTAGCAAGTTATGCCTTGGGAGGTTGTGTTTTGTTGCAGGAGTGACAACACCAGCCTAAGCCAAAAGAACTATGTTTCTCATTTATAGCATGCCCATCTTGTTCCCTTTTGCTCCCCAAATTATATTGTTCAAATGCTGTGCATCTGTCTTTGCTTGCCTTGGATATTCTGAGTTAGGATTGTAGATCTTAGGTTGAATTTGGGGCAAGTTTCAATGTGAAACTGGCTTTGTTTCCAGAATTCCGCTGGCTTTTTGTCTCTGGAGTAGAATGGCAATTTTCCAACCTGTGAATCAGGGAGAGGAAGTTCCTAGAGTGGTAACTTTACAACATGCATATATTTGTGCAGCTCTGGGAAATTTTTCCCTGCCTCCTCTTAAGCATCAAGTTATAACCTTCTTTTTTAAAACATTTCTTTTGGTAGATCCATAAGCAAGCTCCGCCACTTGAAGACATTGCTGAGGATTGTAGCGCTAATATGAGACAGTTATTGGAAGCAGCTCTTGAAAGGAACCCCAATCAAAGACTCTCAGCTACAGAATTGCTCAAACATGAAGCCTTGCATCCATCACGGGAGGAACAGCCCCGGTGTCAGAGTCTGGACTCAGCTCTTTTTGCACGAAAGAGGTTGCTGGAGAAGAACGAGCTGGAACTCTCTGAGAATATTTCAGGTACGGTCTGCTCTTATCTCCAGCTACTTCCAGACAACTTTGATCTGTATGGCAAAAGCCCACCCACTTCGCCAGTCTTAATAAAAATCTGAGAGCCAGCAAAACCAATATTTAAGAGCAGGGCAGAATCCTTCTCAATTGAAAAGGCTTTAGATGAAGTGTGTAATACCTGCAAAATCAGTTCAGTAAATTCACATTGGCATCTAGTAATCTCAACAAGTATTTTGGAACTTCCAAAATTGTGTAATCTAAGTAGTCCTCAGGTTACAATCACTCATTCAGCAATCATTCAAACTTGCCACAGGACTGAATGACGGGAACTTACATTGGGTCCACAGAATTCGGGCCATTGCAATGTTCCTGCAGTCACGTGCTTGCAGTCCTAATACTTGGATTGTCATTATAACCTGAGGACTATTTATAATGTTCTGCAGAATCTGAAATATTAGTTTATTTTCTTAAAAAGGCTATAAGAGAGAAAATCACAATAGAAGACCCTGAGTGCGGTTGGTTTGCTGTATATGTCTTCTTCATTTTCCCAGAACATCATTATTTTCATCAGTAATTATATTCCCAGCCTTTTAACAATGCAGTCAAATTTCATAGTTCACCAGGTTACTTTTCTCCTAGCCAATATCAGGCCAATATGGTTTTTATTTAATAGTGGTGGACTTTATTCCTGATTTTCTGTATTCATTTATCGAACAATTCCTGTTCTAACAGAACTAAGGCAAATCTGCATCAGCTCACATAAAGCTCTATTTCATATTTGATATAAAACTTCATTAGACATGTGTTCATCCCTAATTGTTTTACAAAATGAACTATTTCTTAAACTCATTGTACTTTTAGTTTTGCCAAGGAGGGATTTAATGACGAATACTTTGAGGCTTGCTAAAGGAACAAACAGCTATTTAATTAAGGGCAATATTTAGCTAAGAAGAGTAAAACTGCTGATAACCTTATCTTCCCCTTCGAAGTTATCTTAATTGGGAGTCACTATTATGTATACAGTTCCTTGACTTATTCATAGAGGAAGGAGGGGAATTCATAAACTATAGAATCACAGAACTGTGGAGTTGGAAGGGACTACAAAATTAGTCCAACCCTTTGCAATGTGGAGGAAAACCAATTAATGCGTCCTCAAACAGTAATTGAGTCATCTCCAGAGATGAAGAATTCCCAGTCTGGCTAATTAATTGTTCTGAAACTACTTTTCTAGTGTATAATATATCTTTTCCTTTAATTTTTCCTTGTTAGATTCTACAAATCTTGGGATTACTGAGGAATCGGATTTGCTGAGGAGACAGCGATCATTATATATAGACCTTGGAGCATTAGCTGGCTACTTTAATATTGTCCGGGGACCAACAACACTAGATTATGACTAGATTTGGGGATCTCTCATGTGGAACTGAACAGGACTAGTTATATATAGAGGGGTGGGAGAGAGAAAGAGAGAGAAGCACGAAACCTTTAATTGGCTTTGCTTGGATTGCTTGAACTCTAATAATGTTTAATGAATGTCCTGGATGAGTTCCATTGCTAGTTTTAATCGCGCACGCGCGCGCACACACACACACACACACACACACACACACACATCCTTGCTCTGGTAACTGTGATTTTTTAAAATACAGTTACACTGACAATGAGTCCTTTGCTTGGTTTCTATTACTTGTCTTACCTAAAAAACAGCAACCTGCCTTCTGTTACCTGTAGTTCAACCCCTATTTTCCCATTGTCTTCTTACTAAGTGAATGAAGTAATACTGGAGCAAAAGAGCATATTTATGCTCAACCACAAAACCTCAAGTTTTGTTTATGCTTCGTTTTGATTATCAAGTGAAATAAGCATCTTCTTTATACATAATATTTTGGGATTTCTTTCTTCTTCTTCTTTTTTTTTTTGTCGTTCTTCCTTAGTGCTGTTACAATGACCTCCTTTCTTTCAGACTGAGGGTGTGGCAAATTTAAGAATTCGGTACTTAAGCTAAGAACATTTCCAAGAAAACATTACTGAATTCTGGGTCACCTATTTTCCTAATGAATATGTATTATTTAATAATATGTATTATTTAAGAGCCTTGGTAGTACAGTGGTCTAAGGCACCCTGTTATTAAGCTGGTTATTAAGACCAGCTGCCTGCAATTACTGCAGGTTCGAATCTCGCCAAGGCTCAAGGTTGACTCAGCCTTCCATCCTTTCTAAGGTAGGTAAATTGAGGACCCAGTTGTGGGGGCAATAAGCTGACTTTGTATAAATATACAAAAGGAGGAAGGCTATTGCTGAGCACATTGTAAGCCGCCCTGAGTCTCTGGAGAAGGGCGGCATATAAATCAAATAAAAAATAAAAAAAATTAAAAAAAATTCATGTATATCTACTGGTTTTGAGAGAGGGAAACCCCTATTGTGACTTTAGTTGCACCTCCTGTTTAAGTTTTTAATTATCAAGCTGCTAGACAGGGAATTGTCAAAATGCTTGCTCCCCACGCTGGCTGCAAATATTTTCCAACACAATAGTTCTTTGACATGAATGGGAACTATGCCAGATCTTGAGATAAACTCTGTCATGTGAATGTAAATTGCACAAAGACTTAGTAACTGTAATCATAGGCTATTTGAATGTTAACACATTGTATAAATGACTCATGAGGTGAGCTTAATTTAATTGTAAGAACTATGTGTTAAAAATAGACATGTAGTTAGGTGTTGTGGTTACTTTATGTTCCTATGGAAAGAATACCTCCTTTTGTTTTTGAAGATTTGAGTGCATTTAAAACAAGTGTTTTGAATGATAGTAAAACTGGTTCAAAAACAAAGCTTTGTACATCCTATGGGGTGAATATATTAACTTTTATAAAAAAAACAATTTATTAGAGGCATACTATGTATGTTCTAAATAGAGTGATTAACAACATCCTGGTTTAGATGTTATACTGAAATATCTTTGTATGCAAAATGTATTTGTATTAATTTCTTGAAGTCCTAATTCCTGCATCAGTTACTGTAAAAAAAAAAATTCTGTTAAACATATGTACTGTTTTGGAATAAAGTGATATGAAATTATTAGTTTGTTTTGTTCCATTTCTCTTTTGTTATTAAACATGTTTATTTCAAAGTTGTTGGGAGGGCAAATTTTCAGAGGTCAAGGATTGCTACTTAATTTCTGGGCTTTCTGGAGAGTCACAGGGAAGCTTCTTGTGACAAGAAGGGTGGGTTCTAGATCTGTCTGTCTGTATGTCATCTCTCTCTCTCTCTCTCTCTCTCTCTCTCTCTCTCTCTCTCTCTCTCTCATCTAGCTCTATTATGGTACATCTCACTTCAATTATATGATTCTTGGAAGTTCACAATAATAAAACACAGTAATCAAAGAAAAATATCACAAATACGTTAAAGCAATACATAAAATAATAACATAGTGTCCACCCACAAAAGTCTTCAAAAGCTCTGTTCTTTAGGAAGGCTAATATGTTGGAGAGAAGTGGACCATTACAGAAAAACAATGCTTTGCCTTTGAGCCACCTAATGAGAAAAAATGAGAACAGCCTTATGTTTCCCGCACCACAATATTAGTCTAATTGATGGTCACGAAGGTGGGAGCCATTTTAGTCTAGTTCTCCCCTCCAAGTTAGACTAAAGCTGATACTGAGTAAAGGCCCTTTTGTCTACAGCCTCCACTAGTAAGTCAAGGAGGACACACACAAGTCTAGGATAAGTTGCTACAGCCAACTCAGCACAAGCAACTCACCATGGCCAACTCACCACAGGACAATTCGGGACAAGAATTATGCTAACCTCAAAGAAATGGTGGAATAGACTCATTAAAGAAAAGATGCCAAAGGAGGGACAAATGAAATGTGAATGACAAAAATTAAAATATTTTTAAATTATTTTAAATAAATGGAATTATTAAATTGTGAATTATTAAATTGTCCCATGGCAAGTTGCCTACGGCCAGTTGGCCACGGTGAGTTGTTCCATTACACACACACACACACACACACACACACACACACACACACACACACACTCACAGCTGTCTGAAGTTAAGAAGGATAAGGATACAAGATCAAAGACAATCTATCAAGTCATATTCACTTCTTTGGAAGTAACAGGTCAAAAGGAAGTCCAGATAAATTGGCAAGAGAATCACTCTACAAAACTCCACTCAAATTGAAGTTCAGATCAGAGTAACTTTGCCAGCCAAAGTGTCAGGCAAAATGGTCACAGTGGTCAGGTCAATAGAATAACCCTTGAGGAACCGTCTCATCCTGAGGAGACTGTCCTGTCCCATCCGTTCTGGCAGAGGGGTTTCACTGCAGATTCTCAGCCAAGGAATTTTGACTGGCAGAATCCTGGAAAAGAGACTGAGGCAGGGGTGAAATTCAGCAGGTTCTGACAGGTTCTGGAGAAATGGTAGCGGAAATTTTGAGTAGTTCGGAGAACCAGAAAATACCAAGTCTGGCTGGCCCCAGAGTGGGGAAAGAATGGGGATTTTGCAGTATCCTTTCCCTGGAGTGGGGTGAGAATGGAGATTTTCCCCTGCCACGCCCACCAAGCCACACCCACAGAATAAGTAGTAAAAAAAATTGGATTTCACCACCACTGATGCACATATGCTATGTCAGATTCATTCTTAAGTCATTTTCAACCTGCATTGCAGGCATTGCTTCTACAGCTTTATTTTGCGAAGGTCTTCAGAAAACCAAGGAACCCCCTGGAATCGGCTGGAAGAGAAACATTACTTCATCAAGGTGATTCATTTAACTGTGGCAAGAAAGGTTGTAAAATGTGGCAAAACTCACTTAGCAGCTGTCTCGCTTACATAACAGCACTTGAAAATCCCAGTTATTCTTTCTTGAGATAACTTAACATAAATTAAAATTGGACGTTACGTTTGGTACATTTCCTATGTGAAAATGGCAAGAAATCTTACTATCAGGGGAAATAAAATTAAAAGAGTTGTGGAAGGGAGATAAAAATATAGCCTTAGAACCTTTGGCTATCCATTACGTATGGCTGACTGAACTAGCAATTATAGCGTCTAGTGTTAGTGGCTATAAATGGTCATACAACACAGTACAGAATCTAACTGGTTACAAGGATCACAGATGAAATGAAATTACAATATCTGAAGAAGACTAACATTTACAGGAAGTAGACTATTACCATATCAAAAGAAAAAAAAACCACCCTTCACCAATAAAACAAAACAAACAATGATTTTGTAATAATCTGTAACTGAAATAAGGCCATTTACATTTGGCATGGATTGGCCATGCTACTTGGACATTAAAGAATTGTGGCCTCACAGATCCAGAGGACCATCATTCTAGCTAGTGTATTTTAAGACGTGGGGATTTGCAGTCTAAACGCATCTGGAAAATTCCCACTTGAGATATGAAATGGAAGAAGTTTATGAAATAATAAAGCAAGAAATAGTAAGTACAGTAAGTGTGGACTTAGTTTTTATTTACTTGTTTGATTCTAAATTAAATGTATAGACTGCCTAACTCATAGAAACTGTGGGTGGCATGCATGAACATAAACATTGTTTAATAAACAAAAGTAATTGTAAATTACACTTACAATATAATTTAGTATGTTGCAAACAAGCCGGGTATTTTTCTTAAATATGATCTACCAAATATTTAGGCCTGTCAAATTGACTTTTGCATCTTTTTTCATTCATAGGTTTATTATATGTTAATTAGCAAATACAGAATGATCTGAAAATATTACTCATGTAATGAAATCAGATTAGAGTAGATGTTTATGGCCATATTACATACTATATTTTTCATTCACATTTTAAAAAAATGTGTTTAAACTCATCACTCTTATCCTGAAAGAAACATGGCTCTCAGGTCACAATTTAGAGTGGTGTGGTGTGGTTCTAGTGTAAATTCCTCCAATAACCATATTCCTATTTCAGATTGGAATCCAGATGGAATAAGATGGAGGAGCAATTATACCCCCGTTATAACTATACAGTTTGGTTGTGTACAAATAGAAATTTAGGAATAATTGCTGTCATTTAAATGGAAATACAATACCTATCATCAAAGGAAAAAAGCGCAACAATGCCTTTAATACAAGGTTGAATTATATATTTTACTGCTATCGAATTTGATGTCACCAATTTAATGGATTTAAAAAAGAACTAGAGACTATCAGTAGTTACTACCCTGTTTCCCCCAATATAAGACATCCCCTGATAATAAACCCAATTGGGCTTTTGAGCACATGGCAATAAGGCCAAGCACTTATTTCAAGGTTCAAAAAAATATAAGACAGGGTCTTATTTTTGGGGAAACACAGTAGTTTCGATAGCTGCATGGTATTGCCTGAATATAAAATCAAGCTACTAAAGAGCAACAGTAGAAGACAATTATCATTCTCTTGTAAGCTTTGTTAATATATTCAATTATCAATTATTTGTGTCTTATTAGATGGGACACACACACACACACACACACACTCACATATATACATATAGAGAGAGAGGGGGGAGGGAGGGAGGGATGGTGGGTGGGTGAATAGCCTACTCTCTTGCTATACTGTATATATTTGGCCTACTCTCTATGTGTAGGACATTCCAAGAGCGGCTTGTTAATTTCCTCCCACATACAAAGAGCCAAGAATCCTGTGGCATGATGAAGATTAACAAATGTTGTTAACTACATCACCAGATCCATGAACTATCCTGAGAGACAACTACCCTGTTTTCCCCAAAGTAAGACATCCCCTGATAATAAGTTTTGAGTCCATGGCAATAAGGCAAAGCGCTTATTTCAGGGTTCAAAAAAATATAAGACAGGGTCTTATTTTCGGAGAAACACGGTATTTATCTCTAATTGGATGACTGGATATTAATGAAATGAGCTGCAGTCTATGAAAACATGTGACAAATTACTTAGTTAACATTTAAAGTACAGAGTATTTGATTGTTTTAACTACAATAAACCTCCCTGGATTATAAAACAAACTTGTATACTTTTTTATACAACTTTCAAAAAATTTACCCTAACTACAAATCAGCAGTGTTCTAGTTTAGATGGCAGTATTTGTTGAAGTGCGGAATGGGACAGCTCGCCTCAGCCAACTCACCACGGACAGCTCACCATGGCCAATTCGTTGCGGCCAACTCACCAAGCCCAACTCACCAGGGACAACTCGCCACAGGATAATTTGCTGTGGGATAATTCAACAATTCAATTTAATTATTTAAAAGAATTAAAAATTATTTTAATTTTTATCATTCACATTTCATTTTTCCTCTCCTTTGGCATCCTTTCTTTAATAATTCTATTCCACTATTTCTTTGATATTAGTGTAACTCTTGTCCTGTGGCAAGTTGTCCCGTGGCAAGTGGGCCATGGTGAGTTGTCCAGCGGTGAGTTGTCCCTGATGAGTTGGCTGTGGCAAGTTGGCTATGTGACTGACCTTAACCTCAATATAAAATCAACTGGGAAACTATGAGCATCCTAGATCAAGCTAAGTCCAAAAACGCTACAGAATTCCTGGAAGCCTGGTATTCAGGCAAATCAAACAGGCACATAGAGATAAGCAACATCTACAAACCATTCAAAAGAGACAATCAAAAAGTTAAAAAGGAAACAAAAGGCAATCCAATCTGAAGAGTCTTGGTGGCGCAGCAGACTAAAGCATTATTAAGTAACACCAGCTGCCTGCAATTACTGCAAATTCAAATCTCACCAGGCTCAAGGTTGACTCAGCCTTCCATTTTTTCAAGGTAGGTAAAATGAGGACCTGGTTTGTGGGGGCAATAAGCTGACTTTTTATAAAAAAGAACACCGCTTGGGGGGGGGAAGCCCTACTAAGCAGGTATATACAAAAGTATGAAGGCTATTGCTTAACGCATTGTAAGCTACCCTGAGTCTCTGGAAAAGGGCGGCATATAAATCAAACCAATAAATAAATAAATAAATAAATCAAAACTCCCATCAACAAGCCACTAGTGCAGTGGTTCCCAACTTTTTTTGGGCCATGCCCTACCTAAGCATCTCTTAAATCTTGATCCCCCCACACCGCCGTGACATATA